TAATGCCAAAATTAGGGTGTAAACTAAATATAGTGGCGTAAACGTCAACATTTTTCCTATCTATGTAGTATAATGGAAGTCAAAAAATACTACATTTACTAGCTTTGAAAAATTCCTGAAAAAATGGTAAAATACGCTATTTTGAAAAGTTACTTCTGCTAAGGTCTGTAGTAAAAGAATATTCCAGGTGTCGGCTTGAAAACTTTATTTGCAGAATTTACATACCTCAATCGAAAAAAATAGCAGCCATTTCCGCACGGCGGGGCTAATTGGGACACCACCCCGAGGCTATTTGGGACACCCCCAAAAACGCATTTACATTAGAACCTCAGTAAGCAAAGGCTCCAGTTAAGAAAAAAAATTGATTGAAAACAAAGAATATTGATTACATTTACCTCACTCAGTGAAAAAATTTCACTTATCAAAAAATTAGTGCATCATTGGTCATCACAAAATTGTGCATAGAATGTCATATATAGAATTGTGCACCAGGCATCATAGAATGAAAAGTAATTGACCTAAACTATGATTTATTTCTGCAAAACATATGGTTGTCACTAAAACATTCCTTTCTGTTTCAGCTATGTTTTTCATGATCTTTTTTTTTAGTAAGTTCACTTAACCCAATTAAAATGGTGTGAAATTACAAGCCTACTGTAAGCTTAAAGATACAGAAAAAATGCTATAAGGCTGCTGATATGAAGCTTGCAGTGGACAAGGTTGTTGTAAATGCTCAATGGCATGTTCATGGACACGGTAATATTGCATCAATAATACGGTAATATCGCATCAATAATACGGTAATCAATGTAATTTTACCTCTACATCATCTACAATGAAAGAGGAGGACTTCAGAGTACTGTTAGTAATAGATGAGTACACTCTGCATGCTTCAAATATTTTAAAATGAAGTTTTATTCCAAGTGTCCCAAGTAGCCCCATTTGACGGGGCTACTCAGGACACTTTTTTTCTTCTGGGACCTCACAAATAGCATATGGAATTCTTTTGAAGATGCCATTCGATAGCCCTCGCAAAGAGCTATAAAATGAGCCTAAACTTGTTTATGAAATGTTTCATGGTGAGAAGTTATAAACGACAAACTCTCAAAACCGTCCCGAGTAGCCCCGGTTGACGGTACTTAAAGAAGAAAGTTTATTTTCCTCAAGATTAGCATAACATACCATTTAATAAATAAATATAAAAAATATTTTTAAAAACCATGTTTTTCTGGTATTTACAAAACTAAAAATAGTGAAATAAAACAAATAAATAAACTTTAAAAAAACATTTTCTTAATGGACAAAAAAGAAAAACATTTTACTCTTGCATAACATTTATGTTATGTAAAATGTTATGTAATGTTAACATTTACTCTTACATAACATTTAAGTTAGGTAAAATGTTATGTAAGAGTAAATGTTTTTCTTTTTTTGTCTGTTAAGAAAACGTGTTTTTTCAAAGTTTTTTTTATTTGTTTTATTTCACTATTTTTAGTTTTGTAAAAACCAGAAAAACGTTGTTTTTAAAAATATTTTTATATATATTTATTTTTTACTTTTTAGTTAGCAATTTTAACAATTCAAATCAATTTCCAAGGTTGGCAAGTGTGGATGTTTGAGAATAAACTTGATTACAAACTGTGAATTTTTAGTGTTTTTTTCTTTTTATTTTTTTTCAAAAAAAAATTTTTAATTATTATTTCTGATGACCAAATCTTGAATTGTTAGGCAGCATAAACATGCATGCCAAATTTCAACTTACTAAGATGTTTAGAAGTACTTACTCTAAATTAGGGTTTGAATTTTTGATGTTATTTTTATGTGGGGCAAGGTATTTATTACGGGTCATACTTATATGTGCACACCTGAAATGTCGGAGTTACTATTCTATTACTAACAATAGCGGCTGCTTTTATGGGCTACGTTCTACGTGTGAATCAAATAAAGAAAAACTTGTAAAAATACTTATGTTTTGAAAACAATATCAGGAAGATGGTGTCCATTAGCTGCATCACACTGTTGGAGTCCTTTTCGGAAGTTTCCCACAGCACGTTCACACAAAAATCATCAGTCATCTAGATTATGAGGCTCCCTTTTATGCTTGTGCTGCTCAAACACAGCTCTCAAAACTGAACATCATTCAAAACAACTGCCTTAGGACTGCGTTGGGGTGCAGAAAAACCACTCCAATTCGATTTCTTGAAGTTGAAGCTAACATCCCTCCCCTCACAATTCATTGTAAAGAGCTTCTGTGTAAATACGACTCACAACACTACCAATGTGTTCCATAATTCATGATCTCTTCTGTGCCGAGCAACAGGACAGACACTCTCCTATATCTGTCTCACTTTTACCATCCTGTACCCAGGGTTGGTAATGATTAAATCAAAATGATTGAATCATGTGATTAAATCACTTGATTTTTTTTTATAAAAAATCATGATTTTTTGTATTTTTTCAATTTTTTTTATTTTTCCAGTTTTTTCAAATATTTAAATATATTGAGTGGCAGTCTTTAATTTATATTGAGGTATTGTTATTCATGGTTTAGTATAAATGTACTATGAATGACAAATTGGTACGTATATAAACTTGTTGCCTTTAGTGTGTATTAGGTTCCAATGAATTGAATGTTTTTGGTACAGAGGCATTGAGTGTGCAATACATTGTTTGTAGCTAGCAGCTTAGCTAATTCTTATAAGGCTATAAGTAGTCTTTAACTATTTGAATATTTGTTGTGTATTGATTACAATATACAATTTAAATGTGTTGGCTAGCTTATACAGGGTGGGGCAGAACTGATTGAACAGTTTTGAGGCAAAATAAGAGTAATAGAGGTACCGTCAACCGGGGCTACTCGGGACTGGCAGGGTAACTTGGGACAGTCCTTTGACACAGCGTAAAACTGTTTTAGTAGCAAAACTAATTGGAATATTGCAAAACTAAATATAGTGGCGTAAACTTCAACATTTTTCCTATCTATGTAGTATAATGGAAGTCAAAAAATACTACATTTACTAGCTTTGAAAAATTCCTGAAAAATGGTGAAATACGCTATTTTGAAAAGTTACTTCTGCTAAGGTCTGTAGTAAAAAAAAATATTCCAGGTGTCGGCTTGAAAACTTCATTTGCAGAATTTACATACCTCAATCGAAAAAAAAATGGCAGCCATTTCCGCATGGCGGGGCTACTTGGGACACCCCCCCGGGGCTATTTGGGACACCCCCAAAAACGCATTTACAGTAGAACCTCAGTAAGCAAAGGCTCCAGTTAAGAAAAAAAATTGATTAAAACACTTTGGGAACCACTGAGCTAGAGTATAGACCTGTATTTTGCATGTTTCAATTCAAGTTTAATTTAGCTAGTAAAAAAATGGCATCATTCATAAAAAAAAAGTGGTCTAAGTTACCCCATTTTACGGTATAATAAATTTGAAAATTGTTAATTTGTACCGGTAGTGACTGCTTTATCTAGAATTTTCATCTACAACTTTCTCATATATCATGCAACATTTTGAATAAAACCATTTTAGTAAATTTATCTTATAATTGTCTGTACTCTCTTGAAGTGTCTTCAGAAAGTTTAATTTCTGCATACGTCATTATTCACGGGTCACCGCGTATATAAGCTCTGTGAGCCGACTGTCAGTGAGTCTTAGGCAGTCATCGTAGAGCAGTACTTCTCAAACTTTTTCAGTCTGGTTCCCCCTTTGGCTCCTTAGTGAATTTCTAGCGCCCCCCACAGACACACCTCTTTCTTGAAATTTAGTATGCTGCAATTTTAAAAGATAAGGTTAAACACAAATGTGTATCTCACAAATAGAACCCCATTTAGTGAACCAATATGTTTTTTTTTTAACGGTTTCAGCACTAGAAACCTAGGACATCTTGAGCAAATTTACGGCCAGACTCATGGCCGGTCTCACGACCAATCTCCAAATTCAATTATCAAGTAATATCTCCCAAACTAATGAAAGCAGCTCTATGAAAATTGGAACACGTATTTATCAGAACCTAACGGTGATGTTTAGCTCCTAAATTTTTTTCAAATTCCCACCATTTGTGAGTTACGCATATGTTGTGAAACGCCGAAATTCGCAGTGATTAAAGAATTTCTTCCAAACTATTGAACAGATTAAGCAAAATTTTGAATATGCATTCCTAACTACCAAACGGTGATTTTTTTAGCTTATAAATTTTTTATTTTACCTTCGTTTGCAAGTTTTTTTTTCATTTCACAGTCATTCTTGATTTCACACTTCCTTATATTTGGTCCTTATTGCCCGGTAATTTGTCACTTAAATTCGCGGCAATCAAGAAATGTATTCTAAAGTACAGAATAGATTTCAACGAAACTTTGTATACCGTCAACCGGGGTAACTCGGGACTGGCGGGGTAATTCGGGACAGTCCTCCGACACGGCGTAAAACTGTTATAGTAGCAAAACTAATTGGAATATTGCAAAACTAAAAATAGTGAGTAATATATATCTCCAAAATTACTGCACAATTACGTAATATCTCCAAAATTACTGCACATACTGTGCATTGATCCTGTAACTTCTATCTAGTGTATCCCGTGAACCTATCTTCAATACTTACGCTTAGATACACGTCTGATAATAACACGTCTGTTATTATCCTTTCCTGGCCAATGAATATTTAATATGTTATTCGGACAATTTATTAATGAACCAAAACCCCTCGGGTTCTTCTTTAATCGATTACCAGATCCTCTAGATCTGACAGAGACAGAACCAGAGCTCTGACAGAGTTATTGCAACTTTGACAGTGGTATTTCTATGCCCACCCACAAAAGGGTTAAGGAGGCCCATTTGGTGCAGGAAAATTGCCCAAAATCCTAGCTCTTTGTGAGTGGTGCAGTGTCTGAAGTGTGCATTGATGCCATGTTTTTTTCAAACTTGAATGTTATTTTAATAAAAAAAATTTTCTCTTTGAAAAAAAAAACTATATAACACACAAGATGCGCTTGTGCACAGATATTACACTCTCTTGAAGTTCCTTACAGACAGTTAAAAAATTGTTTCTATGAGCACCTGCTCCTCAGCCCCATACTTGACGTGATGAGGAAGCTACCCACTAAGAAAAATAATTTTGGCATTTTTCTACTGAAAGCTGGTATTGTGGCTGAATTCTCTGCTTTTATTGGATGTTTTTATGTATATTATCGAATGAACACAAACCAAGGTAGGTAAAACTAACATGACCTAGGTATATAAAAATGTTTACTGTTAAGTGTAAATAGCCAATTTTTTCCTTCTAATTTGGATTTGCTCAAGTTCATTTGAATTTATTCGTTCCTTTTTTTCCTGTTGTGTGATAACAGTAGAAATATTTACCAATTTCCTTCTAATTTGGATTTGCTCAAGTTCATTTGAATTTATTCGTTCCTTTTTTTCCTGTTGTGTGATACTATTGTAAAAGAATCTTGTTCTTTCTTTTGCATACGGTACATTGATTATTTTATTTACCTTCATATATTGTAGCTTCAACTATCCTGATTTTTTCAAGCAGATTTAGCTTTGGTTCATTTGTGGTGTCAGTGACGATATGGTTGTTAAATCTCCACATATTCTATTCAAGCTGTAATATAAACTTATTTTTTTGGGCAATTTTTTCAGAGTTCCGGTATTACATGCACAAGAACTTCAACTCTGGTTTAGAAGGTGGGCAGCATCATGCTAAATATTTACAGCATTTTAAGATCATGCATTTTCTCAACTCATGATGATTGTACTGGTTTCATACTCAACTGATCCTGAATAAGTAGACATTTCTAATAATTTCTTGTTGTTAGCTTTGGTGTTGACTCTTGTAAGGATTTTACTCAAGCTATGATACTTGTTTGTACTAAAAAAGCTGTTCTTATTGCAGCGTATTATAAAGTTGGAGATTTTTTTGATTCAACCAACACCACACGTCAGCAAGACTTGACTGCTTTTGCTGCTTTGGAAGCTTCTTCAACATCTGAGCCTCAAAATTAAGTCAGGTTTGTCTTAAAAATGTATTAAGTGTAGTGCCAATATGGTGATACGAGTCAATGTAATATTCAATAATTGAAATAAATTCTATTATGGAACCTGAAGATATTTGTCTCTATACATATTTTAAAGTCACTGTATCCATAGATAAATGTAAAAAAGAAAACTCAGTACTCACTGCAGTGAGTGATGGAGAGCACATTTTCTCATCATTGAAAATGTGAAATGATGGACAGACAGACTATAGACATGACGATCACAATAGTGCCTTTTTTCCATAAATGAGAAAATGCGCTAAAAAATTTATTATTGCATTTGCATATGGTACTTTCATTATTATCATTAATTACAACAACTTTGTTCTTGTATTTAACGATTTATGCAAAATGACGAGATATTTGGTAAGGAATGAACATTTATGTTTTTACTAAATTGATGAATCAGCATGCCAAATTTGATAATTTTTCTTGATTTCCCTCAAGGGGACAAGTGAAGATATTGAACAACATGGCCATCCCAATCCAGTACAGAAAAGCCATTGTCCGCACTGGCGTCATTGGCTTTGGCACTTACCTGCTCTACAAGTTGATCATGCCTTCTGATGAGTATCTCAAGGTACTCTACTTATATAGTGTTTTTAATTATATAATTCATTTAAACCTCAATCCCTAGCCATGTATATACACAACAAGATGTATCTACTGCATTTGAATAACATTAAATAGTTACGTAATTCATTTATTACAGAAAATTAACAAATTACATTAATTTCTCTCAAGTTCATATAATTGATTTTGCACAATTCTGTAATAATAGCATCACAAATTGTGATGTCTTGCAGACGAATTTTTAGCAGCCATGTCCAGGCTGTGCTTGGGCCAGGTGTTATTGATGCGTTTTGCATGAATTACTGCTAGGAAGTCACAGTCATTGGCCTACATCACTCAGAAAAATCCATAGTAGTTCAAGACAAAATCTTAATTCTAACTATTGTATCATCCTCCCATTAATGGATGTTATTTGATTGACTCCATTAGTACCATAAAATAGATCTTTTAGACTAGGACCTTTTTGTGAGACAAAGTCATACAGTGAAGATATAAATATATATTGTATTCGTGTATTTAAGGCAAGAACTTGTAGAGTATAGGGTTTTCTTTTCTTAAATGTCAAAATGGTTCAAGTCACCCTATTTTAAGGTAGTTTGAAGCAATTGTAGCATGTATTTTTTTGTTTTATTTAAAAGTTAAGATGTTTTGCGCTTGAAGGAACACATTTAAATTATTTTGAACTGCAAATTTCTTATGTGATCTATTACTTAAAAAGCACTTATTTATAATATCCCTTCAATCTTAGTTTGCTTACAACAATAAAGATACAATAATTAATATTGACAGAATACTATTGACAAACTGGCATTGTTTTCAGAAATTCCACCAGGATGCAGATGAAAAGAATATCGGTTCTGGCCCCACCAGGTTAGGCCGCGTGGTGCAGCTCTCGCAGCAAGGTTATTCCTACGAAGCTATCACTAAAATTATCTCCGCGGAGCAGAAGGAGCGATATAAGGCGCTCTATGCCAAGGAAGCTGAAGAGAGAAAAAGAGCCTTGGAGAGAGAGAAGGTCAGTTCCTGTTGCCCTCCAGGCCTAGCCTTGTGGCCTTTGGCCAAATTTGTGAATAAATCTTCCTCACAAATCGATAAAATTCATTTTAATTTGTTCGCAATGTTTTCATCATTCTAAGTCGTACGTTTCATAGCANTTTGTTCGCAATGTTTTCATCATTCCAAGTCGTATGTTTCAAAGCAATTGTGAGAGGAGTTCCTATAAATTCTCTTCAATTTATATTCCAAAGAGTCTCATTGGAAAATCAATAGGTACTGAGCTTAACTTTCTGAATTTTTTTTTAACCCTCTACCGCCTGACTCGAGTAACCTGAGCAATATTGTCACAAGCCTACTTCCCAAAAAGGAAAGGTTCTAGTGAGCGCAAAATGACTTGCACTGATGGTTGCCGCCACGTACGACAACTTAAAAATGTTCTCTGTTGCGTACAAACGTCCTCAGGTTGCATTTTTTATATGTTACATTCTGGTTGTGCCATGCTCTCCGGCCTCATCTTGTGAGGGCACAAGCTTGGGTCGGGTGTTTGTCATTTACATATCGATATTTTGTCAATCATGCTTGTAAAATTTATCTTGCCCAAAAATTACATCAGTTCAAAATTTGTATTTGCTCTGAACTTTTTTGTAGAGATAATCAATTTCAATATAAGCAATCTTATTTACCCTCCTCAGCTATCGGTGGCGGCGGAGGCTAAGTCCTTACAAGGCGTTGTGCGCTCTACCGTGGACACCATCACACGCAGCGGCAGCTCTCCCACAAATTAAATTCTGACATTTCATTCTCTGAACCTTCGCTCATACTATGGATGGTTGTTAAGTTAGTAACTAAACTAACTCAACAACCATCCATTTAAAGAAAGTAGCCGTGCGCTTCTTTATAGCAAATCGCACGAGGCAGCAGTGTAAGAATTCAGTGTATTGCCGTGAGGCGGCGCTTGCAACTAGAGGGCTCACAGCTATCTCGGGTTATTACTGAGAACCATTTTTGATATTAAGAAAACAATTGACAGGCTCAGTCTGAAATCTGTGTGTGGCAATCACTTTAATAGGTTCTTCAATGACTTCAAAACTAAAGAATAATATTCACTTACTCACAGCTCAACAGCTGAAGAAAATTTCTACCCCTTGGTTTCTATTTCATATTAATTTTGCCATTGTTCCATTCGTTGTACTGTGGTTATTATTCTTTTTTTTTTTTGTTGAGATAGCTTCAACTAGATCTTCGATTTAAGCAGGTAGGTAGTCGACGACTGGTTTAGTCATGGTGTTGGGTAACGGGCATTGCTTGATTATTGTATTTTAGCGCATTTTCTCATTTATGGAAGAAGGCGCTTCTGTGCTCGTCATGTCCGTCCGTCCGTCTGTCTGTCCGACCGTGACTTCACGGACGGACGGACGAGAAAATGCGCTCTCTGTCACTCACTGCAGCGAGTACTGAGTTATATCATTTTTAATTCTCTGATGCATAAAAATCTGCCCCTCTGTTGACATGTTAATGACTCTAAGTTATCGGTCATGGATCTCGTTTTGTTGTTGGTACCGCCGACAAGCGAGGATCATTAGCGCGTTACGTGAGAGCTGCCTTAATTTTCTACTAGCTGCAGACCTTGTGCTATGGCGATGCACTACTTATTTTAAACGAAGATTTCATTTTTGAAAGCCTTCAGCTTCCTAATTGAGTGTGAAGAATTCCGCTAGAGCCATAAATAATATTCATACTCTGTTGCCGAAATATAAGTGTTGATCTTGGCTATGAAAACATTTTCATTGTAGAAATATATTTCCATGAGGATGTCTTTGAGTGATGAGCCGGTAACCTTCACGAAGGGAACTATGGGGAAGTCAAGACTCGCTCGTAGCCGCAAATCATAATGTTGCGAACACCTGAAATTTTATTAGGACCCATAACATACTAACGACTTTTCGAGAACCCTACGTAGCCTTATAACTCTGACTTGCGGACATGTGTTATAACCTGTTATTTAATTATAGTAGAAGTAAAGTGCACTGTTCTCGCTACCATTTTGTTGCGATGCAAATAAATTAGTGCAGCTGCGAACTTCCAGCAGATCTTCATTGTGTAAATAAACTACCTGTACTTCGCTCCCTCTCAAGATTGTAAAATAGAACTTCGTTCTTACGTAAAAGTTTTGTGATTTGTTCTATACCCGATGTTGCCCATGTTGATTATTCTCATTCAAAAGTACTGTGTTCGAACCATTTGACTACTAAACTTGAACGATCGTACGAATGAAAACAAATTTGCATGAAACGGCCATATTTATTTGATGTAGAATCTCAGTACAGGGAGTTTTGTTCACAAGGCTGTGAACAAAATCTGCGTTTCAGGAACTTCAAAGGTTACTAATGTTAGGAAATTTAGGTCCAGTGAAAAAAGAAAACTGGTTTACTGAGCAAAAACTGTATCTTAACGTATCATCATGGCTTACGTCTTACATGGTTCGTATGAAGACACACTGAAAAAAGATTCAAGTAGAAGTTTTAATGAATTAAAAAAGATCGGGATTATTTCGAAATACACGGTCCCACTACTCGGGTTCGTGAAGGAATGCAATTATAAATAGCTGCTAAATGCAGTAATGAAACGCCGCTAAGACAGATAATGCAGTTATGAGACGGAACTCAAAGCCAGGGCAGACCGAGTACTTACTGCAGGAACGAAGGAAATCCACCAATGTAGCCACAGCCGAGTTTGAAAACCACGAAACAAAGCTGCAAGTAGGTTTGGAAAATCATACCTAATTAAGAGTACTGCAGCAAAAGTATGTTCGTAAGCTGAAAATAGCGATGTATTCTTAAATTTGGCAGAATGAACTACAGAATATCAACAATATAAATCGTACAAGAGTTCAATCGTTTCTTATCATTCCAAGACGAACATCAAAACCCAAATTCATAATACGGCATGTAAATGAAGTTGAGAAATAAGTGCCTGGGGCAAGATAGAAGTAACGCTATTTTACCGTCATATCTTTACCAAAACAAATTCCTTCAACAGTTTGGAGGCAGTATTATGTTCGTGGCAATTTTAATGTACATTTCAAATCACATTATATTGATTAGATTTATGCTTACGTCGTCATATACGTTTTCATTGTTCAACAGTAATAAATTACAAAAATTAGTAATTTGAATTTCAACGTTAAACCTAATAAAGTCGAGAAAGCGCGATTTTAATCTATCTGTCATGACAGAATTTATTGAAGTGTCAGAAAGTTCACCTCATTGTATGTAATTTCGTTAAATTTTATTATATTTTAACAAACCCATAATTGGGTAGAAGTATTAAAAAAAATGTTTTCTCTAACACATTTCACGTACACCAACATCAATAATAATAACATTCAAACTATCCATATAATAAAGTTCCGACAGAATTGATGAACACCTTATCCAAACATACACGTGATATATAAATTTATTCAAATATCAGTGACGCATTTCCATTTATTTTTTTCTAGCGCATTTTTTGAACCATAGTAGAATTGTTGCTAAATCATCAAATTCAAATATTTCCGGTCGTTTCTGTACAATTGTTTTCAGTTCGATGAGTTGTTAACTTCATAAATAAAATTTTCATTATTTTGAGTCCATCATGTATAGTACTTATATCTCTTCAATACATAACAAACTAAGTCAACATTCTTATAAGTTATAATGAAATCATTTGGCCACCTTATACGTATTAAAATGTATACTATCAAACAACTTTTCGTTACAAACTTCAGAAACAAGACATTTGTCAATTTACAAAAGATGATGCGTATGTAATAATTTATATTTGTAAACAATCAAACACTAGTTTGCTGGAAGTCGTGTTATTTTCTCAATTCACTTGCACTTTGTTGAGGAAGAACAATCGAAATTATGGAGACCAAGATTTACTTTCTGGAGCGTGAACCGCACGTCGGAAACCTGAGTACATTCTCTTCACGAGTGCGGAACCTGTCATGTACTCAAAAAGTCAATTAAATTATTCAGTGTTTAGGGGATGTATAAATTCACATAGAAAAATACTGTCAAAATCTATACTCGCGTCAAAACTCCATACCTAGGTTCGGGCTACACTACATCAATCGTTCACTGCCTAGTGTATTGCAATATTTGGGCCGACCAAGTATTACAAATTTGTGAAAAAAAAATATTTCTTCACATTTCAAAGGTTAATGAATTCTTCGCTCCTACTACCAAGAAAATTCCTCGTAAAATCCACTCTTCTATCTGAAGACTACACGCTACCCTGACCACCACTCATCACTAAGCAAAGTGCACAGCCAGCATCCACCAAAAAATAATAAGTTTCTCAACTTTATCCGACAATATTCATGGATTAAAATTATTAAGGATTTTCTTTTATTCCAATAACTAATTTAAAAGAAAGTGACTTCCTCAAAATAGGTTGCTATAAGCGCATATCAGTTATTTCCAAGACACTTTACTATGGTGACTTGTACAATTTGAGTCAGTAAAATCAATACCAATTTCCGCTAAGATAAAAATATTTCAACGAATGAAAAGTTGAACACTCTAGCTCAGGTGCACTCAAATTCAATTTCATAACAATCCAGTTATTACAAAACTGTTAGGAACTGAACAATGTCTGCTCACCCAAATTTTTATACGTTTGTACCCTTCCACATTTGAAATTCTCGCAAGATTGTGGATGAAAACATTCAGTTGAGTGAGAATATTACAAGTATTCCTGCTTCAAACTATAAGTGAATTTGATGGAAAAAATACAGGCCTGGCCGAGTTGCAAGACCTAAACACAAGCGCATCACTAATCAATTCTTGCAACATTGCATGACTGAAAATATAAATTTACACGAATCTATCAACGTCTCCCTGAAAGTAATCTCATTATTTTTGCCACGCTTGAATTATGTCAGCCATGACTAGACAAAAGCACGTTGAACTCAAGGCCCATGCAAAAAACTATGTACATGAACATATTTTAAATTTATATCTAAACTATTGCAACTTGGTCGTGTTTATCAATAAGGAAAGCGCAAGCAGTCCACTATAGTTTTATTATAGGTACTTATCAGTCACGTCAATAGCATGAGAATAGCTTATATTGATATCTAATGTTTTCAAATAAGCTTTATTTGCATGAAATGCAGATGCCGGCGTAGTGTTGCTTCATATATAACCATGATCTCAATGGATAGTACCGCATTGAAATCAGGAATAAATGGTTATATATAACAAATTATAGTAGGCGTTTAAAAATTACTTTTTAAAGACAACACTTCAAAAGAGGCAGTGCCTCTGATGTTACACATGTATAATGAACTTTTTATTTTAATTTTAAGTATTTTGAAAAATTATTTAAATATCTTTTATATATGAAAAAATACATTTTAAAAATTATTTATTCTGTCAATTGATTCAAGCATTGTCTCCGACTTTGCGCAAGTGTGCAAAATTTCAGATTGACTGGACAGGTAGAAGTGTGTTAAATAGCGATTAAAAGATTTGTTGCAGACAAACAAACAAACAAACAAGCAAACAACATGAAGTGAAGTTAGAGAGAAGAGTTGTAAAATATAAAAAATAGCAGGTAAAGTCGGGTATGTGTCAAGTTATTGAACACACATGCCCTCTAATGAAATGAAATTCCATCAAAACCTAAGTATTTGTCTCACTTATTCGTCAATAACATTGACGAATTTGCAGCGCAAGATAATTCGATGAGTCGTAGGGAGGAATCGGTGCTGGCGTTTAAATGCAAAGTCATCACGAATATTATCAATATATTTTTTAATAATTACTCGTATCTTTTATAAGAATGTGGCATTCTTGTGCAACCTACTTTTATTTAGTATATGGAATGTCCTTTCAAAAGCTGCCAGCTACAAATCTACCTTCGAAGATATTGCGAACGTGATTTGCAGTTGAAATTTAATGAGGCAAAGATGTTTAAAGCCACGCAAGTTCAAAGCCGTGCACGTTGAAATTTGGCACATGGTGAAGATAATTCTTCAGTTGTATCAAAATATAACTGATTGTGAGTTTGCGTCGAAATTACAACCGTCGCTTCTCGAATTTAATTATTAACATTGCAGGTAAGAAAAGCATTGTATGAAATAGACTAGATAGTCAGTTTTACATGTTGGGTTCACTAGTTGTGTCAAACTGCTCATTAATTTGAATAGTGTTGGAATAGAAAAACATTGCTAAGCATACGTAGATGACTCCAGAAACATACGTAAACCAAGATAGACTTAGACTAACATCGATGAACAATAACTTACGGGGAGAGAACGTGCACGAAATATTTTCAATTAAAAACCAGCAATATTCAGTCCTCGTGTAATTGTTATTAAGGAAATGAAGGTACATACGACAAACCTAACATATACACTAGGTACTCAGTGGTTACTAAATACAGTGTACCTAAATTCAGCCTAAATATTGTAGGCATCACACATATCATATAAATTTAGCCAAATAACGACCATTGCAAACCTTGAAACGTCATGTTCCCTTTTACTGATAATTCTTTACTGGGTAAGTGATCAAATCCAATGCAATATTGAACTGGACAAAAAATTTAAAAACAAATTGGTTTTAACCGTGAGATTATTTCATACAAATACTGATTTAATGCATCCATTGACATCATTCGACCACGGTTTGGTTCGGCCATTGAAAAGATTTATCGTAGCCTTAAATACAAGATTTGTTCTAAATGTAAGAACCACGGATAAATGGACAATAATCGAGGCAATTTGGTGCAACCACTGTTTTGAAACATGCACCGAGGTATTTGTAATGATTTAATGTCCTAATTAAATTGCCCGGAAATGCCACGTGTGAGCGGTTTACGTTATAACACAGAGACACCGCTAAGTGCTAAGCCAGCTTAACATCGTATGGTAGAAACGTTACATTCTCTTCTTGTACAAAGACACGTTCGGTAGTGCACTTTCTATCCTATTAAAACTACTCACGACGACCGTCCTAAGCTATACTACAGGACGCAAACATTAATATGGCTTCATTATAACATGCAGGAAGTACTCTTCTTATACGATCTTCAAGACTTTAGCGACCACAAAACATACATACATCTTATATCCATCCAGTGAACAAATGGATTTTTTTTAAAAGAACAACAGCTTATGTAATTGACAGTAGAAATATTTACCAATTTCCTTCTAATTTGATATGGGAAGGCCAATTCTAAAATTTCATTGCTTACGCATTTTTCTTGAAGTTCAACAGAACAACAGCATTTTCCCAATCACAATTCGAGTTTTTCTCTACAAGAGAAAATTTAGTACCTGAAAAAGTACCAGCTTTACGCTAATGTTGCGAGAGGAACAAAACGTCAGGGGATCTTTAAAATATTCAATAGTTTAAAACGTTTAAAATATTCAATAGTTTAAAACGTTTAAAATATTCAATAGTTTAAAAAGTTTGAAATATTCAATAGTTTAAACGATTAAAGTACTCAATAGTTCACACGCGCATGAGAATGCGTCTGCTCTGACTATCGCCTCGCTTCGATTATTCTCGCGTAAATCAACCACTAAGCGAATGTCACTCTAGAGTCTCAGTTGAGCGAGTACTATAATTTTCTACATTTTCAAGTGGCAGAAAATGCTATCGAATATCCATAAAATATATGTACATGTATATTCAAATCGAGGGCTCGCGTTGTTATTTGATGTGGCAGAATGTGATGGGACTGTGATTTCAGTTATTTTACGTCGCAAAATACCGGTAAAACAAATATTGGCGGCGTTAGAAATATACATTAAACAATTAATAGAATTTTGCAAGTAATAGGGCTATTTCAAGCTCAGCCTCACGTTTTAATCCATACATAAAACTTCAAATTCTCCACCACATTACAAAATCTTATTTATTTTACATTTCACGTAATATTATTTTTACGGAAAATCGAGGTCATTTTATTGGAGCAATCCCATTCATTGCGATCTCACACCACTCAACCCCAACCGATCATATAATTTAAAGCTAAATATTTACACAAGAAAAATACGGATTAAGAGGATGACATAGCACAAAAAATACAAAGTATAGTCAATTATTACACTTATCATAAACATGTAGCGACTAAACATTGCAAGCATAGTCTTCCAGATCTTAATTGATCCACCTGATCCAAGTTCAGATACGAAAGGTTGCAAGGAATTTACACAGAAAATAAGACGCATTGCAAAAATCAAAACATGATCGTAAGTGAGCGAATTAAGGAGAATAAAAGATGTCACAGCACTAAACAGAGAGAAGTGCTCACCGAAACAGTTATCATGTTTTTGGTAACAACAATTTACTGAAGGAAGTCATCCGCTCGTTACAGGCGCATAATGAAATAATGTGCTTGGACAGAGAATGAGCGACACAGAGATCTTTTAGGTTAATCAATGCATTAATAGTTGACTCATAATAATAATATGCCCAATAAAAGGGCATATACCGTTGGAGAGAATGCTGTCCCTTTCAGTTGAATGAACTTGGCCTTAGACACAACACAGCGGATCTATGCATTGAGCACTAGTTTATATACTCCGGACGTCACCAATGTTGAAATATAAAGCAAATCTTACTCATCATATTGTTAAGTATCAATAAGGTTGATTAAAAACGACTCATCATTATCTTTACAGGAACATGCATCCTAGCTCTGCATACTGGATAATTTCACATGATTGGATAGAAAGACACTTATACCTTGGCGGCCATGTTCGATTTAATTTTGAAAAAGTATCGACCGCTTGCGTTCAAAAAGTGATGTGATAAATTAAATCACATTTCATTAAATGGATAATAAAGGAAGGAAACTTTAGGTATCAAATTTAGCTTAGATTAAGCAAAATAAAACATTCAAATTTAGATTTGTGATAAATTTGTTCAATATCCTTTTGTCTCAGCCTTGCCCATATGACAACATGTACATATTAGCAAGTATCATCACCTGAGTTATTAAATGACAGCTGAAACCAAATTAATAAATAAATGCCAGCAGTAATGAAATGTCTGTTCCTAAAGATTTACCTATCAATGCATCGAATGACAGCAATAATCAAATTACAAAATGAAAGCAGAAATACATTATTAAATGACAACAGTTATCAAATGGCTGTTCCTAAAAAATTACATATGAATGCATCAAATGACTGAAACAATCAAATTATTAAATGACTGAGAAATAAAATTAATAAATGGCAGCTGTAATCAAATGGCTGTTCCTAAAAATTAACAAATGAATGCATCAAATGACTGAAACAATCAAATTATTAAATGACAGAGTAATTAAATTTTTGAATGACAGCAGCAATTAAGTTATTAAATGACGGCAGTAATTAAATTATAAAATGACAGCAGTAATCAAATGGCTGTCCCTAAAGATTTGTTTATCAATACCCTGCAGGAGCCGCGAGATGGTGATCGCTCATGTTGCATGCGCAGGCGGTCATGTTAACAGGACTCGCAGACTATGATTAGACTGCAACGTTCGGAGGAATGCTATTTGACAGGGACGAGATATTCTGCTATATGGATATGAATAATTTCCGAGAAAACATTCCAATGAATTCTTTTCGTTTTCAAAACTCTTTCTCAGCAATTAACTTCTATCTCACGATTCATTAACTCATACTTAAGTAACAAATATGAAAGTTTTGTGAATGCGATACGAATTTTCAGAGCGTAGATAAAATGTTCTCTCTTTCTCAGTGAATGGCCTTATATTTTTGATTGTTGTATTTGTTTTTTGAACGACCAATTGATAATCTGTCCCGTAATCAATTTATTTCATACTATGAAGAAGGCTAGCTAAATAAGGTCATGAATTTTTACACTGAATAAAAGTTTAGTTATTATCAGTCCATGGTGCGTGTGTTACGTAGCACAAACGACTTTGGAAAATATTTATCAGATGTTTGTCTAATGGTTTATCATTCACAATATCCTTGAATGTTCGTCATTAAATTACTTCTTTTCATTAAAAACTATAAAACGCACAAACTTTGGTCTTCAATTCGCTTAAGAGCAACACGAATGACTTATTTAATCTCATATGATCGTACACCACAAAATAAAATATGATTTTACGTCAAAAACTCATAAGTTCAAAAAACTCAATTGTAAATTACTATTGACATCTCGAAGCTACGGAGGAAGACCGTTGCCACGAGCGGTGCCATCACCTTCGTAGCCCTCAGGCGGTCCCGTCAGGAAGTAAGTGACCATCTCTCCTTTGCCCTTCACGTTGACGGCGCCTCGACACGTCAGCGGCCAGCCACGGGCCTCCAAAATCTGGTAAACTTCTTGCGTTACCTGCAAGCAGCTCGAATTTAATATATAAAAAAATTTCATAAAGTAACACTGAGGTAGCCAATTTGCCTTTACCGTAACTGTGCCGAAAAATGCCCTAACTTTGAAAGGCGCGCGTAATTTGTCAAGACTTCTACCGTCATAGCTACAATGATTGTCTCATTTTAAAGGTGATAATACATAGCTAAAATTATTGTCTCATATTAAAGGTGATAATATATAGCTAAAATTATTGTCTCATATTAAAGGTGAAAACATTCCTTCACTGAGTGACCTGAATTTTATCGGTGTCACTGGTGGTATCCATCCTAGACGCGACGTTGACAGCGTTGCCCCAGATGTCGTACTGAGGTTTGCGCGCGCCGATCACCCCCGCCACTACAGGCCCGATGTTAATGCCTGAGAGTGAGCAACGATAAGGATTAATGATTGTAAGCCTCAACATGATAAACGTACCTAAATCTAAATTCTTATAATAAAACTTAATGAAACCTGAATTCTTGTTAAGGTTGCTAGTTTTGATGAAGTTTTTGAGTTTGACAATAATAGGAACTTTCTTGTCCTCAAACTAGAGGATTCAGTTCATAAGATGCAATTTACAGCTCAATCAAAGTATTCATATGTATATTATCTATATCTTAGCCAAATTTAAAATTCCTATTCATAGTATGAAATCGCTAATGAGATGTTCATCTATAGAGACTTCAATCAATTGAATTAATTATTTTATAATGTAAATTTCTACCTAGAAGTCTCTGGAAGCAGAAGTTTGGTTTCCGAATAAGAATTGAAGAAAAAGATTAAGAATTTCCAAAATGCATAATAATTGAAGATAATATAATAATAATTTGGAAAGAAATAATAATTAATAATAACACTTACCTATCCTAATCTTGAAGTTATTGAAGGAATGCTCGTTGACATACTCGAGCTGCACCCGCAACCGCAGGGCGAAGTGTGCCATGGCCGTGACGTGGGAGAAGTCCTTCAGATCACACGTCGTCTTCGTCAGACCTGCGAAGTGCGTGTACTGTCATAAGTAACAGCAGGTATATTAAAATAAAAAGAAGAATCCTTCAGATCACACGTCGTCTTCGTCAGACCTGCGAAGTGCGAGTACTGTCATAAGTAACAGCATGTATATTAAAATAAAAAGAAGAATCCTTCAGATCACACGTCGTCTTCGTCAGACCGGCGCATGTACTGTCATAAGTAACAGCAAGTAAATTAAAATAATAGAAGTTCTTCAGACTACACGTCCTTTTCGCCAGGTCTGTAGACACGGTAGGTAATCAGTGACGAGCACGTAAATTAAAATAATAGAAGAATTCCTCAAGGTTACATGTCGTCTACGTCACCGTTACACACATGGTAACGAGTAACGACTAAGTAGTTTATGATAATACAAGAAGTCTTTCAGATCACTCGTCGTCTTCGTCATGCCTACGCACGTTAATAAGTGACGATCGAGTATGTTAAATTAATTACGTTGATACTCGGAGTAAATGAGTTGGAGTGAATTCAATCTCGTAAATATTTCAGGCCTCCATGGAACTTATCTAGAACGGTATTAGAGAACACAGCCATCGTTGATTGTAACGGGAATAAGAGTTGATTAAAATTGCAAAAAAATTAAATGAACGAAAAATCTGATTAGAAAGAAATGAAAAATAATACTATAAATTTGATAACAACACAGTATTGATATTCTTCAGTCATATAGATAACAATAATACATTGTGTCACAGAAATCGCTCAGAATACCTCACACCTGATCAACAAACGTGGTTATTTATTTCGGAGCCGGTGGCCTTCACCTCACCATCGGTTATCATTTCTTTCGTCCCGATAGATTTGATCAAATCACCAAACGTCGTCATTTATTTCGGGTAGGTGAACCAAATTACCTGACCCGATGTTGCCATATAACTCACCCGAAGCTGCCATATAAGTAGCGCCGGTAGACTTGATTTTCTCGACGCATTTGAACTGCTCTTCGCCAAGCATCTCATCGAAGTCAGCGATGATCTCGTTGAGCAGCCGTAAACACTCGACTCCTTCGTTGTTGGCTTCCAACTCCACGTAGAACTCCGAGAAGTTCGGAATGGAGGCGAACATAATGCACACGCTCTCGCACTGCTCGTGGTACAGCTCCTGCAAGTGGAAACAGCTTTGAAAACTTTTGGTACTGATAGTGATTTTTGTATGAATGAAGCTATTAATGCAACGAATATGATAATTATGAAACTGAGCACAAATTGAACTATTTCACATCATGGGCTATTTCATTAGAGAGTATCTCACATCAGGGGTTTTATCATTAGAGTATCTCACATCAGGAGCCATATCATTAGAGTATCTCACATCAGGAGCCTTATCAATAGAGTATCTCACATCAGGAGCCTTATCATTAGAGTATCTCACATCAGGAGCCTTATCAAGGTTAAGGAAGTGTTCGGCTACGTGCTCAGGCAGGATGTTCGCTATGAGCTTCCTGTTGAAGGCTTGCAGATGCTCAACCTCCTCCTTCTCGCCTGCACAAGAAAACTTTCATAAGTTGACATATCAAATTAAAACTAAATACTTCGCAATAGTTCAAAAATAATAATATATATTATGAGACCAAATGCAGTCGTGCTCCTCCTGCTAATAGTTTACCGAATCATTGGTTGATGGTAAAAATTAATTTCTTCGTACTGTTGATGAAACATTTCTCATTAAATAAATGAACCACCATTAATGCAATCACGGCATACATTGTTTTTTAACGTGGATGAGTACAATGAATGAAAATGGCCACGATTCCATCAGTGGGAACGTGTATTCAACAATAACTCTTGATAATTGTAAGATAGTTGCAAACTATTGGGAAAATTTACTTCAACGAGCCAAATCTCGAAGAAATAACAACAAATATAACAACACCAAATAACAATTAACAGAATAACAAAACACAAAATTATACAAGATACGGATTGTGATTACTCGTGCCTCTGGGTAATCGAACCAGGCGGCTTTCAGGACCAAACTGACTCCGTTCAGAAAATAAATTGATAACTGTTAGGTTCACATCAGGGCTTAGTTATCATTTTCTTGAACATTAATTATATATCTATCACTGTTGTTTTGAGGATCAATATTATTTTGTACCCTTACCGTGATATTTCATAAAAACCTATATCTGTTTTAACATGGAAATCATTGATATGAATGAATATATTAACGAATCAATAATTATTATATGCAAAGTGGATTAATTTCATATTAAGCATGATAAAATTTGATAACTTTAGCGAGTGAAGATAGATACATGCACACATAACAATGTGTCTAAATTGACATTATAAACGCCTTGTATTACGGTTCTTTTTTTATTCATAAATAATTATAATATTATTGATTACCGTGGGCCTGGAGCTTCCAGATGAAGTCGAGTCTGGACGCCGTCTCGGTCTGTCGTGCGTGCATGAAGAGCGTCGCCGTGAAGCTCAGGAGCACCGCGACCGTGACCCACGGCAGCACGGCATCACTGCCACATAACAGTGGTGTCACTACGCGGGCAGTGATGACACCACCGCCTGCGTGGTGACACCATCTAAATCGCTTAAACCACCACCACCTAAATCGTTTAAAACTTAGTCGATATCTGCTAACGTTCACCGAATGTTGAAACGAGTTTTATTCGATCGAATTGTTTAGCTCCTGAATGTTGAATCAACGATGCTTCGTGTTATTGTTTGTGCTGAAATGTTCTATGTTTGTGCTGTTGTTATTTTTTTACTAAACGTCTAACATTCAAAACTTCAAATACTGAATCTGAAGATAATAACGTTATTGCAATAACACTGAGTTCAAGAAGAATTTTCAAGTTATATCCAACGCTCAAGAAACAAAATAATAAAGCTAGTGTAGCCGCCATATTCCATTTCTCTGGAATTTGCAGATGTAGAATTAGGCTACTAGACGTAGTTTATTTCTGATTCGTCAGAGCATTCAGTGTTTGACCCTAGATGAATGTATAGTACCCGAGGAACCAAGTTATTCGGTCAGTTAGATTTGTTGATTATTTGAATTATTGACTATACCGTTTCATATTTATTGATTTATCTTGATTCATACATTGTCATTTCTTGAAACATTCTTTGTATATTTGTCTTATGTATTTTATTGTAATTTTCTTTCTAGAAACCGTACATCATGAAATACTCGTTTTTTACCCTGCCATGATGGTCCGCCTTTGAATAGTTCAGCAAACGTTCCCAAAGGACTAGCCAACAAGAAAGTCCTTTACAGCTGGACTCATCGAAAAAATGAACAATCCCAGTACATTTAGTAGCAATTGAATTAAATACATTAACCAAATAAAAAATAAATGTAGAAATGATTGAATATTGAATATAATAGAAATTGGATAAAACAATTCTATAATTGTTTTATCCAATTTTTTTATAAACAATCGATTGAATTAAATACCTTAATCAAACAAAATACTAGAAAAGAAGTAAATGGAAGCTTTGTATAAACCTGATAAAATCGTGTCCGCAAAAGAGTGGCAAATGCGTCACTAGCAGCATGGTGAAGTATGTGCCACAGATAGTGAAGAGCAGCAGGAGCTTCAGCACTGGCACAAGAGTGCGAAAAACAGCACATGTCACCATCACCAACATCACGCTGTACGTGAAGTACTGAAACGAAGAACTTCAGTTACATTATGGTATGACTTCAGTTATAGTACGGTATCATTTCAGTTATATTATGATATAATTTGAGTTGTATTATGGTATAACTTGAGTTATGTTATGGTATAACTTGAGTTATATTATGGTATAATAAAACAGTTGTTTCGGCGCTAAAGAAAAATAGTCCCGTGAAATTATAGTATGCATCAAAGCTGAACTAAGACCACTACGAGCGAATACAATGCAATTTAATACTGAAGACATTACCGCTCAATGCACTTATGGGCGGGGCAACTAACTTATAAACGGCGTTAAAATGGAGAGGCAAGCCAGACGGCCAAATAGGTAATGAGGATGATTATTACTGGACTGGAAAATCATTTTATGATGCAAGCATATCCCTTGTATTATAGGATGTTGTAATTAAGAAAAAAGAATATAAAACTATTTCAAGAAAACATTGAGGTATGAATCGAATATCTAAGGGCTGCATGTGAGTTAATATGCAGGCTAAAATATTATAACGAATCAAAAGATGACAGAATGACAAGATGCGAAATAAGATGTGATTTTTGAATTGAAAATGAAAATTTTAGTATTTTAATATTGCGCGTAAAATTATAAGGTATTAGAACTCCCATGAGCCCTTAACTCAGCTAAACATACGTGCGTAAAATTGTATCCAGAAGAAACCAGGGCGTCGCGTTCGACGAGCGAAGCGTTCATGTCACCAACGTCTCGGTCAAGTCTTGTCAGGCTTGGTGCGCTCGTCGAGTCGTCGAACACGTATAACTCGGAGGCGTTGCTCGAGTTGAGCGCGAGTTGCTCAAACTGACACTCGCTGTAAACGCTCAAGTCGAACAGAAACTGCACGACGAGAACAATGATAGTCGATTTATTATTAATAAGAATAGAATCCACTTAATTTTACTCTAACAAGTCAATTGGGACCTGCACCAACTACATCGATGCTGAAATAATAAACGACGATAATAACTTTGTAAACGTAATAATTTCAAGTCATCACAGGCTAAACTGAAATAAAATATAGTTTCCAATCAAACGCAATAATTTCCTCCTATTTACTGAAGCAATGACCCTGTAATAATTTCTCCCCTTTCCACCAACGTTGCCATAATTTCTGGTTAATATTGCTAGGTATTTCTCATTCACGTGACAAGTTCTCCATAATTAGCCATCACATAGAGATCAATGATTCACGATAACACAGCCAATAATATAATATCTTCGCTGCAATATGACAGACCAGCGGCGCGACGGTACAGAGGAAGAGCAGCAGCACCACAAATGCTGCGAGGATCTGGCCCAGCGTCCTGTTGCTCGTCACGTCGACGCTCGCCCTGCGCAGCCAGCGCGGTGACTTCTGCGCGGAGTGAGGTGCGGTTACGTCGAAATAATGGCAGTACATGTAACGTAACCGTGATTGGTGCAGTACTATGATAAGTCGGTGTGGTTCCATGATGAGTTGGTGTGGCACCGTGATATGTCGTGGTGGTACCGCGATGTGTAGGTGTGGCACCGTCATGTGTTGGTAACTTGGTATATGATACTGTGATTGGTCGGTGATGTACCGTGATGCATTGGTGGTGGTGTGTCTTTGCATTGGTGTGTCTCCATTATGTGTTGGTGTGTCTCCGAGATGTAGTGATGTGTCATCGATATGAGTCGACGTCAGTAATCGTTCAAGCTGCTTTAATGCAACATAATTGGATATTTGAGGTGCTACTTTACTACACACAAGGTGAAAAGTGTCCCCAGCGCGTTTAGTTTTCTGTAAGGTTTGTTCTCTATGAATGCCAATTAGAAAGAGACAACTATAAATCAATAAATCCCGAACATCAAAAAATTAACGTGGATCTCAAAAGCACGGTAAATTATTCTCACCTGCGAATAGTGACGGTGTTAAAAAATGTCATTGCTTATAGTAATCACGCTCAAAATGGCAAGAATGGACCGATCAACTCCAGAAATAGAAAGAAGAGAAAGAGTAGCTAGGAACGAAGAATTATTCCACATATACAGAAAAAATTAAATCATTAACAAAGTTACGAGCTGACCTTCACGTCATCAGCCATAACGAGAGTCACGCACAGGCTCAGCAGCAGTAAACCGCCCGCCATGATGCCTGATGACTCACGCACCCCCCTACCGAAAAAATTTATAATTAACACTAGGTATTTCCCCCAGTATAATAAAAATCTGAAACAGAAATCATGGTCATACAACACCGTACAAATTTTTGGATGATGAAAGAAAATACACATTTTTGGCCGGGTAGTTTATCATTTAATAGGAAATTAATATATGTCAAAGTTTGTGCGTTTGAAAAGAGCAGACGCCGCATATATGGAGAGGCTTTTATAGTGCATATCCACGATACTTATCGTGTCGCGATATGACGTGCACATTAAAGTTTATTCTTAGTATTCCTATTCATAATATTCTTTAGCTTTATTCCTATAATTCTTAGATAGGCATTGTAAAACTAAAAGGAAAGGAGTGGACCAAAAATTAAAGTTAGATTTTGATATTGGTTTATCTAAATTATAGTTAAAGACGCCATATCGGCTCCGGAGATCTCATCGTCCCCATGCAACGCCGAGCAAACCTGCAGCTATCACTCGAACATTGCCAATAAACCACTGCGGCCTAACAAATATAAAACTGCAACAAAGTCACTTGACGAAAGTAGCGGCGCTGAGCCACCACTTACCCCGGCACGACGATGGCCTGCGCCAGGAAGACCGTGGCGAGGGCGATCCAAGCGAAGGTGAAGTACGCGGGCAACATGTCGTCCCGCTCCCTACAGTAAAGTTATTCGTTTGGGACACATCTTACCAGAATTATTCGTTAGGGACACACCTTGCCAGATTATTATTCTTTAGGGACACATTTTTCCAAAACCATTCATTGGGTTCATAACTTGCCAAAATAATTCATTTTATTAAAATCTCACTTTACATGATTGTCTACTTTTCTTCGTCGGAAGTTCTGGGCTGGGGTACACAGTTAGAAAAATTAATCCAAATTATTAAATTATTACATTCAGCTTGTTGTCTCCTAGAAATGAAATTAAATCATTTATTTATTCCACTTGCAATGTGAAAAAATTCAATTCACACATGCCATCAATCTCAGTTAGGCAGCATTATTGTTTTGTTGCTTAAAATATCGAGCTCGAAAAAAATATTGATGCAGAATTAAGTACAACAGAATAATCCGACAGACAGCTGTATTTCATTTGAAATTCTGCGGAAAAAATATTTGTAAATTACTTATTAAGTCGAATTTACTGCAATTTGTAAAGCCAATGACTAGGGCGTTTGCAAATTTTCAGAGTGCGTGGGTAGGTGAGTCCCACATTTGATTCATGCTGGTATCGACACACAGGGTGGCTACGGATGATTACAGACACATTACCGTTTTTCTCGGCATTTACTGCACGTCTGAAAAGTGTAGCTCATGTTTTTACTGCCTCTATGTTTATATTAAAACAAAGATAGTTTGACAACTAACACACTCGATATTAATAATTTTAAAGACCTGACCGAGCCGTTTCTCGTACGCACTCAATTACTCGAACACTGGAATTTATTGGTTCTTGACACCGGAATTTGTAGGTCAATTCCTGATTAAATCTGAGAACACTTTTTCTTACTCATTTCACTGTTAATTCCATCATTCGCAAGTCTCTTTTAGTGTGAATATTTATATTCCTCTACTTCTACTCGACCACCCCAAAAGCCGGGCCTCTTCTTCTTGATTGGTCTCCACCACACCCAGTAGGCCCCACCTTCTACTCTATAGTTCTCCACTAAACCCATTAGCCTCTACATTTTCCTTGATTAGTCTCCACCAAATCAAGTAGCCTCCACCTTTTCCTCGATAGGTCTCCGCCAAACCGAGTAGCCTCCACCTTCTTCTCAATTGGTCTCCACTAAACCCAGTATAGCTTCCACCTACCCTCGATTAATTGGACCCTACCAAACCCAGTAGCCTCCACCTCCTCTTCGATTGGACCCTACCATACCCAGTAGCCCTTACCTACTCCTCGATTAGACCCTACCATGCCCAGTAGCCCTCACCTACTCCTCGACTGGACCCTCCCAGACCCAGTAGCCCCTCACCTTCTCCTCGATCTGGCGCTGGGTGAAGGAGAGCAACAGGGGGCGGCAGTACTCGGAGCGATGCCGATGCGTCGAGCGCGACTCGATGGCCTGCGCGAGGTACTCGTTGACCTCCTCGCTGGTGCTCTTCGCCGCAGGGGCGTCGTGAATGCCCAGCCTAAATACCACATAAAAAAACAGACAAATTATACTATTAAAGACTTTGCATTTTTAGCGCATTTTCTCATTTATGGAAAAAAGGCGCTATTGTGCTCGCCATGTCCGTCCGTCCGTCTGTCCATCAGTCCGTGACTTCACGTTTCCGTCGACGAGAAAATGCGCTCTCTGTCACTCACTGCAGCGAGTACTGAGTTATATTTTTTCAGAACGGGCACAACATGAAAAGGTTAAAAAAGCCAAGTTTAAAAACGAGAAACTTTCTGTCGTAATGTGAAGATGATCCATTAACAAAGTTTCGCTATTTTCAACAAGCAATTAATCACATTCTCGATTTTTTTTGAGCAATAATTCATTTTGCTTTCGACCAGAACTGAGCTGCCACTTGAGGACTAATGGATCGCTGCTCAGGCAAGGCGCGTTCTTTTACGGCCGCAAAATCTTCGTCGGAAATATTCAATGAGAATTTTCTAGGTGCGTGAGGGGTATTTTCTAAGTATAAATAAATTTATACCTACTTAGAAAAATCTTCAGCCCCTTAACCTGCACAATCCAATTCAATTTCTGGATGCTTCCTCAGAGAATTTATTATGACTATTAAATCCAAGTAAAATATCTGCTAAACTAGGGTCACAATTTTGTTCGAAATTTCTCCTACCTGTAATAAAAATGGATAAAGTGCAAATCGAAATAATTAATTAATGCATAGATCCTTTTGAGACTCAAAACCCTAATGAAATATGTGATACAGGCGAGCAGCAGATCTTTTATCGCACGCAGCTTTGCTGCCTTATTCATCTTGTATTAAAACAAAATTATTGGGCGTTGTATAAACTAAAGGCCTAAAAAGGAAATATATTAACAACAAAGAATGTCGCCAGCCTATATATAGCAGCAACAGATGTACCAAGACAACGTTGCTATGCAACAAGAACAGACGCATCAAGTCGACGTAAAAAGGCAATAAAAAGAAGGAAAAGATGTACTAGGACAACTTTACAAATGAACAGAAGAATTAATATAAGTACAAATACGACGCAATCAGACAACAGAAGAAATAGATGCACCAAGACTTTGTAAGAAGGCAACAGACGGGACAGAAACAACAGACAGTACGTGTGACAGAACCAAAACGACGATAACAAATATCAGGTGGAACAGACATACTAAAATGACGCTAACTGGTAACAGGAGTAACAGCTCACTAACACAACGTAACTAGGCAACAATATAACAGACAAGGCATTAATGAGTGTCAGAGCGAGGCAGCAGGCCTGACAGAACGTGGCAGCAGGGCTGACAGAACATGGCAGCAGGGCTGACAGAACATGGCAGCAGGGCTGACAGAACGTGGCAGCAGGGCTGACAGAACGTGGCAGCAGGGCTGACAGAACATAGATGCAGGGCTTAAAGAATATGGCAGCAGGTCTGACATAACATGCCAGCAGGACTGACACGATCAGCTGCAGTCACCGAAGATGGGAATCGCAGTGCCAGAGACGCGCTCTGCTGTCATCGAAACTAAACGCCAATGATGCTCTACACCGAGCCAATTAGCATCTGTAACAGCCGTCGTGAGCGCCCTCTGACAACTGTGATAACTATCTGAAAATTGCGAACTCCATCCGGGAATTTATAGGCCAATTTAACAGGTGCAAACACCGAACAAAGCCTGCCATCACCATCTGACCAATGAAGCTCCGTCTGACAATTACAAAAACATCAAATATAAACTATTAAATTCAACTGATTTCATCGTCGGTACCATGCAATTCTAAATTGCATTCCCTTTAGAGATGATTGAAATATTCTATATTCCTATCAACCAACTAAAAGGTATTAGCAATCACGAAATATCTAACTCACAGTCACTGTAGTAAGAACGTGTCAACCGTCAGCGCAAATAATGGTAGCATTAATTGGCTACAGAGACGATGGAATTAATAATATAATGATGGTTATTATCATAAAGCACCAAATGGTCCTGCAGTCCTTACTGCAGGACTTGAAGACAGAAGCAAAATAACATCGACATTATAACCATTGAAATTTACGAAAACACAAGATAAAGAAAGCGTGGAATGGGCTACGAAAGTATATATAAGCACTTCAACAAATTAATAATAAAATTCTTCAGTGCTGGGATTTCCCGAGTCAAAATTTAGACGGGAACTGCCTGAGAATACCGATGAGCGTTTTTTATAGCTACGACGCCTGTCAATGACCTGTGTAATATCGTCTACGGTCAAAGGCAAATGCTCGTGCATGAGTTGCCACGATACTTTCATCTCTGACCTCAAATAGAAACGACCAATTTTATCAACTTATCAGTTGAAAAAACCGCCGGCCTCCCGGCCGTGGCCGTTACAAAGTCCGCTGACTGCATACCATGCTTGCGTGACGGTCACCTCCGTAGAACAACCTTTGGCGCGAATTTTAAGGTTCTTATATACGCTAGTGTCGCGCACAGTTAAGCCTATACCCTCGAAGTGACGCCACATTCTTCGACTGGAATGTCCCTCGCGCTGAGCTCGCCAACGTTCAATGTAAACTAACTCGTTCCCACGATCTCGAAACAACCGCGTCTTACATACATGCTATATCGCTTCGATCCGCATTCTTAGCATTCTGAACACCTACGCATAATACATGTTCAATATTACCCATGTCCAATATTACCTACTTTAATCATATGGAAGGTTAACGCCATCAGATGTGCACTCCATGTGTACATCATTGGAGTTTCAATGTAACCTTTTAGAATAAATGTTGCCTTGATTATGGAGGGATAACGCGATCAGATGTGCACTCCATGTTTGCATCATTGGAGTTTCAATGTAATTATTCCTGCTAAACAATACATTAAGTTGGCAGCGAAAGGTTTCAATGGCAGTTTGGTTATAAGGTTTGATGTAACATATCAAAGCACGAAAAATAATAATCCTGTTATACAATTTATTGAAGATAAGCAGCATGTCTATGACTTTAGTGAGAAATGAGAAAATGAGTGCGGGTAAGCGTAGGGAAGAGATTCAGGCCGATTTTACGCATGATTAGTTGATTGAATTAAAAAACGGTTGACAGTAATTTTTCTTTACAAGGATTCAGTCGAAGATTGGATCAGGATAAACATAACGTAAGCAACAGACAAATTGTTTCGGGGACAATTCCTACCGCTGTAATTTAAGCTCGATAAATAAATAGGTTTATTCATATATTTGAGCGCATACTTTTATATTACTGGATCAATGTCAACAGAAAATAACCTATGAATAATCATCAGTAACGAAACTCGAACTAAACAAAAACATGGATACTATTACATTTAAAATTATTTCCAAACAAGGTAATATAATGCATACTACTACATAATGTAACATAATATAGAATGACCTGGCAAACTATGTACCTTGATGCACCTCATACACTACAGCCGCAGCCTGTACGCCTTGCGTAGAAATGTTTATGTTAAATTGAACATGTTCCATGATACTATGATGACCGAAAACATTTATCATACGAGTTGATTTGGTTGACAACCAAATCTTTAAACTATAAAACGAATTTAATTCGACGAGGATGTTTTCTTCACCAGTCTACGGATTTCAGAACAAGGATTCAATTACTCGTTCTTTTTATATTGATCGAGTACACGAGGGAAGGGATTCTTTAGTAATTTTTTTTTACATTTTATCCATACGCAATGCATTTGAAGTCGAAAACTTATATATTGCAAGCTGGTTGATAAATTCGAGTTCAGCAGCCACAATAAAGTTCACAACTTAGATTTCACACATGGAATTGAAAAAAAACGTAACAGCGGATTCATTCGGAAATACGTAAATGATTTTTTATCATGCATAACTGTTTACACAGATGATTGAATGTTTTTAGAGATGTTAGAATGCTTACAGAAACATCATAATGCCACATCCGTGCGCATCACCTCAGTTCCTGCAGGTTATTGGTTTGGATGAAGCGAGGCAATCTTAGCAGAGTTTGTGCGCACCGAGCTTAATTGCTGTACAACTGAGAAGTTAACCTACAAATCAAACAGGGTTCAAGACCAGCAAGAAAATGTGATCACTTTGCAGGATGCAAAAAGGAAAAAATAGCATTCCCTAACTAGTGTGAACAAATTGATCTCATTATCGAAACCGAATGCAAACGGTGAACATAATTGAATGTATGATTAACAAATGTCCCAGATAGACTTCAAAAGATTTTCATTCAAATTGGGCAAAAATGGTGGTCATTAAGCAAATTTGTTTCAAACAAAAGATTTTATTAGAAAGATATTATAATCTGTTCATTCGTTGAGCAATAATTCTGATTTATTTCAATATATGACTCGCAAAAATGTTTCTCCAAGGTTAAAATTTTCAGAGAATTTAGTAATTTAAGTTAAAATTTGTTCGCTCAACCTTGGAAACGTTGAAATGAAATGGCCAAAGGCAGTCAAGCATCGAAGGATCTCAGTCGCAGAGAAATCAATAGTAGTTTGCATTGCAGTTCATCTGCCAGTCTTCATTGCATAGATGAATTCTACATCAGTTCCGACGTCTGCATTTCTGCGTCAGAAAGACTCGTCACGCACTCGAGGATGACAATTGGAAGCGGACGGTTGTGTGATTTTTTCACGAAGTCTTTGAAATACGAGCAAATAATTGAGTCAAAACATAAAAATTATAATTAATACAAATGGACAAAGAGCAGCATCCAACTCAAGCTCGATTTAATTTGGCTTCGAGAACAAGGTTAAAAGTCACCATGCAATCAAACCACTAATGAATCTTGACATTCAGGAATAAATATTACTTTTCTAGGTTTAATTTTATGACACACGTAATCCTATACATTTACTGTTTTTTTTTATCTGCAGTTTTTATTTTTGCGAGTCCCTGATGAACCGCGAGCCTTCCGATCAGAAAAAGCATTCATCTGCGTATGACCTAATCTAAATAACTAAAAACAATACTTACCAAAGGAAACCTTAATTTCAGTCCATGAAATAAATGTGTTTATAATCAGAAATATTATGGCATCGCAAGAACATAACGACTACACTGCATAAATCGTCAGTCTAGCGTCAGCCGCGAGCAGAACAATGAAGTTTTCGGCACAAACGGGCAAGCATACATTGCAAGCATCGCTGCCTCAACTGATGCATAATACAGGACCTGGAATCCTTGTACTGCATGCACCCAGAAAATTATTCTAATTCCCCTTGTAATGTCAGACGCTTTCTGCCACTCTGGGTCACAAGCCTTGTTGTTGTCATGTGAACAATTCGACGAAGATGCTTGAGGGAATCTGACAGTGAACGAGGTCGTAGCGTGCGATGTGATCGTTACTGATCACTAACGGCTATACGGAACACTGACATTATGAAGTATTATAATTTTATTAGGCAGTAAAAGGAACAAGAATTGCCCCCAAAGTAAAAAAAAAACCTTTAAAACAGAAATCAAAGAGTGCAGACGGACAAAACTCCAGAGCAGATTTAATTAGAACGAAAATTACAAATAGCTTAAATAAATTATCGTAAGATTAGAACAATACTTCACACACAAATAAATCGAGCAGACGTAAAATAACTATGAGTCAGCATTTGGAGGTGAAATAAATTATACATGAATAACATAACATTAATTAATTAATAACAAGCATATAAATTAATAACACATAAAACAAAGGTTGCAACGAGGAAGGATTAATGCACAGATATACGATAATTTTTTAAGCGTACGCCGTGCACTTGATTTCTTAATTCCAGAGAATTTTAAATGCTGTAAATTTCATTTTGACGTCTGATTAAAGAAATTAGCTTGCAAAATTATATATACATATAATTATAATGTACGTTAACATAGAGAAAAATATCATCTTCTCGGCAAAGTTCCTGTGGTCATCGAATTTCAAGTTTACCAACCATTTTAATTAGTTGCAGAGAGATCTCACTCGGATTGAATAAAAACGAGATTTGCACCGCCGACTTTTATCACGGCCAGTTTGTACAGACAGGTTGTGGCAATCGGCTAAATGTCTCAATATTGCCAGCTGCATAGTTTTTGTAAACACTAATCAATCCTTTCTGCCCTTATATGTAGCGCGCAGCTTTGATTAATTGTTCACTTCAAACATCATTTTGTGCGCTGTAACCGATAACCGTTTTATACATTTTGGCCAAGCGCGGCCATTCACAATCAATTGCAGCCAATCAACTTCAAATAAACGAATTTCAGTCAAATTTGGTCTCATTCCATCAATACTAAAATGTCATCTGTGTGCAGAGATACTAATGAATAATTAACTCAAACAATCCCACGCATGACAACTGAACTCAACAAATGAAGCCCATCAAGATGAGCAACCAATCATCGAAAACGTTGTATTTCCGACGTATCCCACGTATGTTATTACCAATCAATATCTATTATACAAAATTGGAACGGGTTATGCGACCTTCCATTTGAAGATGAGCGCTGCAATAAAGTCTAGGCAAATGTCATTGCAAATTATTCACTGGCTGGAAAAGAGAAAAGTATTCCAGTCAATGTTGTGAAATTATTCAAAAAATTTCCGTATATTTTGCTGAATATTTGCATTTTTTCAGGAAATTTTGAACGACGTTGTTTTCCATCTATTTCACTTGAAAGCAGCGAGTTTTCAAAGAATTAGAACAATTCAAATATAAGCCATAAATAACGATTAAATTTATTCATACTTGCTGATGATGATACGTTATCAAGTGCAGATTTCCTTTTGCAATTTCGCATTTCATAATTTGAGCCTAAATAAGACAAAATGCTGATTTAAGTAACATATTTACCATGACCAAGGCCGTGTAAATAATTATTCTGTACCAAGATAGATGAAGGCTCTCAAGCTTTGCTTTAATGAGTTTGGAGAATCAAAAGAATATTGCATATACGTTACAGTAGGTTACCATTCACAGCCTCATTTCTCCACGAAGAAAATGTTAAACTTGTTTGTTTATAATTGAAAAAACGAAATACTTTCATAATAAAATTAAATTTAGTATCTTTTAGCATTTTTTCAAGCTGAGGAAGAAACTTGTTTATAATTGGCATGATTAATGTACATATAATTTCTAACTTGTTATGGATGTTTGCGTTGCTCTTGGGCGGGTCGTGATGCTGAGGCTCCCTGCCAGCGCTGCCGTTCATGCTGTACTGGGACGCCTTCTGCGCGTGGTGCTGATGCAGAAAAATAATTAACAATCATGAACAAGCCATGAAATAAATTTATATTTAAAATATTGACATGATTAAAATAGTAGTTAAGAACCAATTTACACTCGGGCAGAGAAAACCATTAAATAAATTTATATTTGAATTATAAAACATGATTAAAAGAGTAATTAAGAACAAATTTACACACGGGCAGAGAAAAGTCGGAGAGTAGTGATGTTACAATAAAAATCAAAACATTAGTACTTAATAATTCTGGAGGGATTCACGTTCATGTTGGTAAGGAAATGCTTAAGAACACTTAATAAATCTTTACAATACTTAATCATACTTAACAATACTTTATGACACTTCATAAAACTTCACAATCCTTTACACTGATTTACAATGTTTTACAATACTTTACGACGAGTACTAGCACTGACAATAATATGTACCAAAAATTTATTTGGGGGTAAACCAGAAATAAAATAAAAGTTCTCGATGAACTCAAGCATAAATATTCACATGCTATGGAGGATGTATTGCAAAAAAAACTGACAAACGTCAATAATCTTATCCGTGAAAAAAATTTTCGTGCTCATTTCTACATTAATACTCCCTGAATTCCTCAACTCTGCGTAAAAAAGATCTACTTCGTCGGGAAAATGCAGCAAAACGGGTGCAAGTGCGTGCGAAAATCGATCTCGTGCGATGAATAATTTTTCAAAAAAATAATTTACGCAGCAATCGTTTTTAATGATTAATTTAATATTCACTTACAACAGCTATGCATATTATTCCCTCAATCTTGTCATAACCCTTCTTTAATATTCGTTCAATATAATCTTGTATTAACGTCAATCATTTGAGAGAATTACATAATTACTTGGCAACACTTGGAAAAGTAGATAAAATTTTTTGATCGAATATCGTGTGCGAATTTATTTTTGATGGTGGGTTGTTGAATGATTTCGTTCTGACGACATTCGACTAAATATCGATTTAGTTGAATGAAAAACTTAACAAACGTCAGATGATCGACGTTAATATTTATAAAAGGTCAAGGTCTCCAGTCTTAGAGATTTTAAGCAGCGACAAGAGAACGTCGGAGAGTTCACCGCAGTCACGCACGCTACGACGCCTCACGAATCGATCACATCACTTGTAAATATGGAGTTTATCCGGAGAAAATATCACACTAAATATTGAAATAAGGCAACAATTTCATGCAACACAATGTTAATATTGTTATAATATCGCAAAACTTTATTCGGTTCTTAGAGAAGAGAGATGTATTGATATGAGCCGAACTCCGACGTTATCGTTAATATAACAAACTAATGTAATTTTTCAGGTTTAATTGGGAACAAAAATCGCAGTAAATCTTCTTTTCATGACTGTACGAAGGCTTTCAAGTGAATTGATGAGAGAAAATAGTCCTATAATTGCATATTGAAGGAATTATTTTATTTTCTATTTTTAAAACATGTTAGAGTGTATGCTCATATCATGAGCTCGGTTCAACTGAAAAATGAAGTCTCTCAGCGATTAAAACTTTTTATCTAATTTTATGTCAAAATCATTGAGTTCACTCGAGTATGTTAAAAAACTATGATGAATATCTCGAATAGTTTAGTGGTGATGAAAAGCGATCAGTCGAGATCGATAGAATCTTGATGACCGAGAAAACTTCAAATCTCGGTCATGCATCAACATTTTTCCAGCTCACTTTTGCTCATCAAAGCAGAAATGTTTTTGAACATAGACTGGTGAAATTCTTGTTGATTGTTTTGATTTTCATCAAATTAATTCTGTTGATTGTATTTTCTAACAACCAATTCTCGAAAATAAAGATGATAGATTCTTTTATTCCTCACAAGAAAAAAGTGCCTAAATATTAACTCGTATAACAATTCTAGATCAAAACTTCCTTAGAGGAATCAATTGCGCGAATAATTTAAGGTTATATAATTACTGTGAATTCATTTCATTAACTTCGATATAACGTATTTCATTAAATATTTCTTATAAATTTCTTGTTTATTTACTAAAAGAAGCAGATTGCGAACGGGGCAGCTAGAGCTGGCGAGATCTTGCCCTGAAGGCCCAGTCATTACATGTTCATTGCTTATAGTTCATTCTTACATTGATGCCTGTGACATTTATTTGTTGTAACCACGCGAGTCTCGCCAGCGTGTATTTAATTTATTAAATTTATTGTGCAGATTTTATCAATTGTTGAATTTTTTTCCAATAGCTAGCACGATTAAATTGAATTGAGTGAAATTGATCGCAAAAAAAGTATGTATGCAAATGATCCTTCTAGATATTTCAAAATTCTTGTAGACATTACTTCGTAATACTCGTCGGAAGATAAAGCAAACGATAACATTTTTATTTGTCACTAAACAATTATGATAAAAATAATATTAGACGTGCAATAAACACCACTCACGTCACGTTACTCGTCGGAAGATGGAGCAAACCATAATATTAACATTTGTCACTAAACAATTATGATAAAAATAATATTAGACGTGCAATAAACATCACTCACATCACGGTACTCGTCGGATGGCACGATCAGGAAGGTCTCGATGTTGTGGGTCTTGAGGTAAGCGTTCCTGTCGCCGCCGTGGCCCGCCTCCACGCGGTAGTCTTCCCCCAGACTCTTCAGCGTCTCGCTCGTGATGTGGATGCGGCTATACAAACACACAACCGTGATCACAACAGTAATATTCATGAATACTTTAGGGAACTGTGATATCGAAGAAATCTACTATGGATACGCCTATACACACACACACACAGCCGTGATCACACCAGTAATATTCATGAATACTTTAGGAAACTGTGATAAAATTCGAAGAAATCTACTATGGATACGCCTATATACACACAAAATCGTGATCACACCAGTAATATTCATGGATACTTTAGGGAACTGTGATAAAATTCGAAGAAATCTACTATGGATGCGCCTATACACACACAACACCGTGATCACACCAGTAATATTCAAGAATACTTTAGTGAACTATGATTAAATTCGAAGAAGTCTACTATTGAGAAATATTTTCAGATTTTTTTTTTCATTTCGCATCTTGCTAGAGTACGGGGTTCTTTCAAAATGATCGTGAAGATACGTAGGGTCAAAATGTCTACACTAGGGAATAAGTGGCACACGATAAATCCTGCTAAAAGAGATTACCGTATGCAATGAGTGATTTTCATTGGAGATGTGGTGAATGTACTTGGCGCCTATTTTCCTTTTAAATTCTTAGTAAAGGCATATCACGATGAAGTTCTCACTCTCGACGTTGGAACATTCCCATTATTCTGAAGGATTTGTATTCATAATCGACGAGTGTGACGTTATCACTCACCTTGTCGGCCACCAGACTCCATCTGGTTCGCCAGCGTGACGTCATCACTCACCCTGGTAGGCCACCAGACTCCATCTGGTTGGCCAGCGTGACGTCATCACTCACCCTGGTAGGCCACCAGACTCCATCTGGTTGGCTAGCGTGGCACCACCACTCACCCTGGTAGGCCACCAGACTCCATCTGGTTGGCTAGCGTGACGTCGTTGCTCCAGACGTCGAACTGCCACTTACGTAGCCCCAGCACACCGGAGTGCACGCGGCCCGTGTGGATACCAACGCGCATGTTCACGTTGACGCCCGTGACCTCGCGCACCAGCCTAGCATAAGTAAATTTTTTATTTTAAACATAAATGCCAAGCTGTAAATGAGGTAATTTGTCAAGGGATACTTCGTCTATCAGGAAGATACAATAACAAACTTATGAAACAAAAGATAAAACAGATTCCTGGAGTTGAAATGTCTTAATTTAGCAACGGTTTTTGAGATAACTAATTAATGTTGACGAAGCGTATTAATTGCAGCATTTGAAGTGTGCAGTAGCGGCTTAAATGAACATGGGCATGATTTGTATAAAAATTTCTGACATTAATTATAAGCAGAGGTGAGGTGATAAGCAGATCAGCTTCAACTTCACGAGATGTAATAACTTGGATATTTATTTTGATATTGTGTAATACACACGGATTCTCCATTAATTTGGCAACGGTAGGACGAAAAGATAGGATGAACGAATTTATTCTATTGTATTCCTTCTGCACCTTCATTACAATAGGATTGCATGGTCTAGCCAAAATCATCATAACGTTTAAAAATAGGATTTGACAAGATGATTCACCAATAAAAATAATTTGGAGCTACGATAAATTATTTAAATAATCATAGCTAGAATGTTGCTCCCGCTGTATCACAAAATAATCATCCATTCGCAAATAAATCGTAGTCGTTCGATTGTTTCTGATATGATAGAGCTGTCCCAAAATCATCAAATATGTATTTACAGTTAATTTAAAAAAAATTACTGAACTGAAAATTACGACTAAACAATATTTCACAGAACCTTTTACATGGAATGATTACAGTATTAGGTACAGTTGTGACTTACTTGGAATGTTCTAGAAGCAAAAATTATCACAATGATCAGCAACACGATTTAACCGAAACTTATTAATAAAATAACCATGAAAAAGTTTTGTGCTAACGAGAACGATAGTTGATTGGATATTTCTGCATTTTCTCTTTCACAATATAGTCGGGAATTTTTGCCCATCACCACGTGGAGCTGAAGACCGACGCGCATTATATACAGAACGAGCTTCTCATTTTTAGCGCATTTTCTCATTTATGGAAAAAATGCACGATCGTGCTCGCCATGTCCGTCTGTCTGTCTGTCCGTCCGTCCGTCCGTGACCTCAAGTTTTCGTCGACGAGAAAATGCGCTCTCAGTCACTCACTGCAGTGAGTACTGAGTTATATTTTTTCCATCTTCGCCGTGCGTCAGGTCACCCGTGGCCCAACACCTAAACAAAGAATGGCTTCCATCCTACAAATCCTCGACAGAAAGATTTACAATTTTTCATATGTGGAGATGGCCCGGTAGTTCGTGCGCAGCTCTTACGAACAGCAGTAGGTGGCCAGATGCCAAAATAGTCAAGATTTTTTTAAATGCATGAAAAATTCAACAGGATATGGTGGATTGGTTTTGACGATGTTGATGAAAGTTGAGCGCCGAGGAAACGGTGTTCGCGACGATCGGACGCCATTGCCATCGCCGGATTTCAATAAGCTATGGCTTCTCAGGTCTTGCGTTGGTTTTTGATTTCTTCAGCTTTTCTGCTCTGGCATGCAATTGCCCTCTAAATTTGCCTGATCTCTACACTATGGAAAATTTTTTACGATAAGCAACTGAAAAGAAGAGAAATAACACCTCAGGCAAGAGGAATAATGATCACTAATTGTATCAAGAATGCGGGTAACAATTCCTCGGAGTTTGTGAAGAAGACTGCCCAAGTTTCAAGCTAGGTCGTATAGGGGGTCAACGTTGATGCTAACGGCAAATGTCACTGTACCGCAGTCAGTGGTAAGCGCCGTTGTATGCGCAGCGGCATCGATATGAGCTTAGTTAGTCGTAGGCTTGAGCCTTAGGATGCTCACTTTATTTTCCGATGTCGCTGAGAGCAGGGTTCAGTGGCTGTCAAGAGGTGGTGCTCCCAGCATGACCTTGGGTTGGTGTCCCTAAACTAACTCTGGGCTCCGGGAACGGCGGACCCCTTACATTGACATTATTTTGACGTAATTAATTTTACGCTTAATTTTTACTTTGTTATGAGCACCGACATCTAAAAAATTACACGACGCGCCCAAAATGATTCGAAGGACACAGTTACTATCAATAAGTTTGATATCTTATTTGAGAAATTGTTTCTTTCCCATTCGTTTTGAAACACAAACTCAACGCCGCAATTTTACGCTTGCGTTTTCATGTAACCTGCAACAGCAGCACGGCAGTACGTTGCAACGTTAGTTAATTAAACTTGGTCACATGTTGCTCCTCATTGGACTTCTTGTCACGAGAAATAATTTTAACTGGCTAAACGTTTCAATAATTGTAATAAGCATTTATTCAATATCTTCTTTATCCCATTTCGTATGAAATTAGATGTTCCATGTTATTGTGCCGTATTCTATTTGACCTCAAATCTTTCCAAGTGTTAAATTGTTTTCATATGTTTGTAAAAAATTCTCCTAATTAAAATTCTCCTATTAGAACAGATATGTTCAAAATAAAATTATGGATTCATACACTGAGAGCATCAAGTTCATATTATTTTTCACAAACCGTTCAATTATCATTATAGTCATAAATCCTATATTATATCTCTTCTTCCAATGACTATTAAAGGGGATTGACGAACGATCTCAGGTCTAATGTCAAAGATCATGGCAGGCTCTGTTGTAATATTTATCCACTGGAAGGTTCTGTCAAAGCCACCTCTCTCAACTGAAGGGTTAATGACTTGGTAATAAAGACTGTTTCATTAACATTAAAAACCAATTCTGAAAAGTAGAAGCTGTAAAAACAGATACGGTTGTAATTTTTAAAATATCACAATTAATATGCCTTTGTGTGCCAAATACGCCCAATGATAAAAAATGAATGAATGGATATGCAAAAATTATGCCCTTGTGGCAACATAAATTAATAATTTCCAAAGTTTTTAAATCCGGCAGTCCGCGCGAACATTCATCTATTAATGCAACCATCAATCAATCCAACCTCCTTTCAATCTACCCGCTGACATAAAACAAGACTCTCATGAAAGGATTTGATGCATTAACGGCTCGAGCCGAGTTCCTCTTCCAACTTTTGAACATCAAAGTTTGGATGCATCGCTGGTCTCGGAAGAACTTGAAAACAAGGAGCAAACCAGTGAGGTTTGCAAAAAATTCTGTCTTCAAGCAGGAAGAGAACTTGTCTTCTAATATTTAAAAAAACTTTTTAAAAACCACGTTTTTCTCGTGGACTAAAAAGTAGAAAATAAATTATGTCTCGCCCCAAAAAACGTGTGTCGGGCAGATTTTTGATTAAAGCGAAAAGAACACAGCACACGAATTTTGGAAATTTGAGGGTGAACGTACAGCCCGACCCACGTTTTTTGGGGCGAGTCATAATTTATTTTCTACTTTTTAGTCCACGAGAAAAACGTGGTTTTTAAAAAGTTTTTTTAAATATTTTATTTTCTCCTTTTTAGTCCGTTGCTACAAATGAAAAACGTTGTTGCGAGCCGATTTACTTGACTTGATGTACGTATCGATGATACGCAGCGTAAGCGCCTGCTCGTCTATAACGTCAGCGCCCGCACGTCATACTATATATACACTATTTATTTATACATTACTCAATTAAGCTAATTTAAGTCTCTAATTGCTAGTTTTTATGATTGTATATGAAATTGTTAGGCGAAAATAGCCTGCATGCCGAATTTCAGATCTCTAGAGCAATCAGAAGTGGTCTAATTTTCGTTGTCAATGTTAACAACAAACAAACAAACAAACGCGAAGCTAAGCTAAGAAAAACGTGTTAAATAATCAAAATACGCAAGATATACGTATAATATCATCTGATAAATCTCACCACGGATAGCACCACACTGAATCACGTATATAGCAATGAATAGCAACATTCACAATGGAAAACGGTCATCATAACGGACCACAACCATAATGTTTGACCTAGCAACGTTAATATCAAGTAAATAAAATGATGCTACTATAGCACAACATGTATGGCGACGACTCACGCTATGGCTTCGATCATATCGACTCCCATCTCGACACAACAATGCGCGTGATCAGGCCTAGGCTCTGGCAGGCCGGAGACGCAGTAGTAGCAGTCGCCCAGCAGCTTGATGCGCAGGCAGTGATGTTCGGTAGCGAGGCGGTCGAATCTGGGTCCAGGAATATACGAAGATATTAATGGAAGTTCAGAGTGGGTATCAGACATGTATGAAGTCGGTTGCTAGACGGTCAATACTGAGATAATGACTAAATTTCAAGGTCATAGAACGAGTGGCTGAATGAAATAAAAGAGAAAGTAATGTACATTTCGTCTAATCCGAGACATGCAGAGAACTGCATTAGAGAAAAATGTACGTCAGAAAGCAAGTTTTTGGCTCGTTTCTGGAGAAACAGCTCGGAAACTATACGAGTCAAATTGAACAAAGCGCTTGGCATATTGACATAATTTTCCAAACGAAAACCCCGTGTACTCGTACGTAGGATCTGAGGAGCTGAAATTTGTGCGGCACTAGACGAAAACACAACTAATCCGAGACATGCAGAGAACTGCATTAGAGAAAAATGTACGTCAGAAAGCAAGTTTTTGGCTCGTTTCTGGAGAAACAGCTCGGAAACTATAAGAGTCAAATTGAACAAAGAGATTGATAAACATTTTTCTGTTCACTCGGTGCCCTCTGCTTGTTAACTTGACTCACTGAAATGGCCTGTCTAACCTCTGAATTAATTTGCCATTTATAGGTTTCACTCACGTATGGTTTTTCTCTCAATTTAAGCAATGGTATTCAAATTAAATGTAATCCGTGAAACTGAATGAATCTTACTCTAATTAATGCCGTTTTCCTTATAGAATTACCTACGAATTCTATGAATGGCAAATTAATTCTGAGGGTAGACCAACCTTATCAAGAAGTCAAGTAAACAAGTAGAGCGCACCGAGTGAACAGAAAAATGTTTATGCCAGAAAATGAAAACCTTCTATGCAACTAATAAAAAAATAACCAAACTGACAGACTTTTCAAAGTGTTTACGACGCTGTTGATTAAACTGACTTGTTCTGGGTAGGAGAAATGCAAGTCAGGGATTTTTGAAAATGTTTAAAAAATTTTTTATCTATAAAAGTTACCAGCATAATTTTTTGCTCTCCGGATATTACCAGAAAATTTTTGAAAAAATCATACTCGGCATTCGTGGGGTTTTCAACATTAGGGCAATTAAACATTTCAAAATGAGGACAAATAACATTTCAACATGACGAAACCTCGAATCAGAATTTCATTGGCTTTTTTTGGACGCGATTAAGTTTCATGAATATTGGCATGAAAGAAAATATATCAATGGTCTAGAAGTGTTCGTTGAATTTATTTTCATTCTAAACAATTTTATGTTGAAAAAGCAAATTCAGGGTTAAATTCAGCTCAAGTATTTGACTTCTATATTCCCAATATATGATTTCTAAGATTAACGGACGCTCCTACAGAAGTAAATTCAACAACACATCAAAAATAAATACTTATATTGTGATTAACTTATGACCAAAACATCATACGAGTCTGTTGTTGGATAGCAATACCAGTCTGTTGTTGTTGTTGTCATGAATAGCCAAGTTTTCGCTGGATGTCAGAAGCATTAGCGGAGACCAGTAAGTTTGTCACAAAGTCTGAAGCTTTCATTTGTCACAAAGCAGAAAGTCGAATGTTTAAAAATAGATACAGGAAGGCTATTTTTAAGAAGAGGGTAAGTCGAGAGTCCAAGGCAAAACACAAAAGTGGTAATTGCATTGGTAGAAAATGAGAACAGTACATCAAATAGAGAGCCTAATAAAAATGATAAATTCATTAAAGAATGAAGCCGAGAGTAACAGACGAATTAGAAATTCTTTAACCAAAAGAAGGAAGCATTTTTTTCAGATAAATCTTTAACTTTATTTAGAGTACTGCTTTTAAACCTTCCTATTCCTTCAATAAAGAAGAAAAATTTCTCATGAAGTGGTTCGAATAAATATACCCGTAGAAAAAGAGAAGATAGAAAGTATTTTTAGTCATTCTGCATATTCTGTCGCAGTTAGCAGACATTTCTGTTTATTCTGCATATTCTGTTTAGTCATTCTGCATATATTAGACGGTCGCAGTTAGCAGACATTTCTGTTTATTCTGCATATTCTGTTTAGTCATTCTGCATATATTAGACGGTCGCAGTCAGCAGGTTACCTGGCGAAGAGTTCGTTGAGCAGCCGCACCAGCTCTTCCGCCGTGCACTGGTCGCTCAGCGTCGTGAACCCGCAGATGTCCGCGAACAAGATGCTGGCGACAGCAAATATAAGCTCGTAAGTGTCCACTCACCCAAATGCTTATATTAATTTAACGCAATTTTTATAATACAGGAATTGATATATTCATGCAAATATATAAATTAGAAAATCACAAAAAGTGAGCATGTTAATTTACAGTTTTTGGTTCCTAAAAAATGTATGGAAATGTATAGGTATCAGCTAGAGAATTTGGAATATGCAATTACTGGATATAATGAGAACAGGGAAGTACTCAAAATTGTACGACTAAATTGACAAGCGAAATCAGATGGGGAAAACGCTGGTGGTATATTTTTGGTGATAAAATATAGCATTCAATTTATTCCATAAAACGTAATAGCGGCAAAAATGTAACAAACAAAGATACAATCATATGAACCTGAATTTTTCACTAATCAGATGAGAATTCGAAAGGAAAGAAAGATGAGGAATCCTCCTGTGTTGAACGAAAGTAACAAAATTGGTTTATTTATCCATGTAATGCTGAAGCGTTAAGTTCAGTATAAAATGATGAAGATCTCGATATCAATATTGCCCACAGTGCTTTCAGCAATATTGGAAATAAACGAAGAAATATTTAGAAACGGCGCAGCCCTCGAAGCGAGTAACAAACCTCGCTTCGCTTCGAGGGTACCTCGCAAACCTCGAGTAACAAACCAAATATGATAGAAATTCAAAGCACGACGTTCCACCGGTGGTAGAAAAGCGCTAATAAATAAGACAAAAACGATAAGTCTTTTTATCGGTCCAGTAAAATCGACCAAAAGACGGTCCGAGCCTAAATTTCTATATTTCCTGCACCAATAAATACACATTGAAAAATAACACCGAAGAATTTTCCTGCCGTGTCGCCACTGCAGACGAGGGAGTCACTTCGTCCATTTCATCCTCAGGTTACGAAAAATAATCGGGATCCCCCTCGGCGACAGGCAAATAAATTTCCCTGGGAAGACATTTTGCTTCAGAAAACGAGGGTAAGAGCCACCTGCCTCAGGCTAGGCAGGGTGGAATCCTCGGTATGCATTTCGCTGCCAATAATCAGTGGCTGAAATCTAGGAAGGATAACATTGGCGTTTGGAATTTCTTGAAATTACTAGTTGATCGAAAATATAGCAATTCAAGCAGTCTGAAATAGCAACGTTCACGGAGATCGGAATAAGCGAGATAAATCTAAATATAAAGGGTCGTATAATATCGAATTTTGTGTGCTGTCATTCGAGTTCAATTAAAAAATTAGTCTCAAGAAAGAAAACATTTACTTGCATTGATAAAACTTCAAAAAAATTTGTTTCACTGGCATTTGTAAGAAAAATTTAGGAAGAAAATAATTTAAAGCTGAAACTTTTTACATTATTGACTTTATCTGTGAAATTTGACTCAAATGAACTCATCCTGCCGGTTATTCAATTGGTGCTCCAGCGCCGCATTATATTGCCTTATTAAATTTTTAATTTTATAGAGAAATATCTATGCATACGCTGCAAAAACTTCAAGGATCTCTAAGTAATTTTTGCCTTCCCCGAAACAAATAATTAAACAAACAAAAAGTATCACAAAGTTGGCATATATTTTGCTTACAGAGCGCAGAAAAAAAAAGTTTAACCTAAAGGACATTTTTTGAGGTTCTCTACTGCTTGAGGCAAGCAATTTTCATTGAACTTGTGAAATTCGTGATACGTAGCAAGGGCTAAAATAGAAAACAATAAATAGATATAATAAATTCGGATGTGCAGCTCTGAAAACTAATGTGGGTATATATTATTGACAGAGAAAAAATTATAATACCTAATTTCGTCCTGAACAAAAAATAATTTTTCGAGCCCATCAAGAACTGTTAAATTGCGCTCTTCGTCACAAACGAAGAATGTTTTGGAGAAGTTATGCAAGTGTACAGGCAGTGCTTTATGCAATTCAAAAGTTATGTTTATATTTATTTATATATATTTATTTAAATTTATATGACACTAAAAAGCATATACTGAAGATTTTCTAGAAAATATAGAATTCCAGTCGCAGGCAGAAAGGCGTTTCATCAGTGTCTGAAATAGAGTTCAATTTTTCATATGGCCACTGCATTTTCACGCTGCCTCCTTCATGGATTAAATGTAGATAATCTAAAATAGTTTCAGAGTATACGTCTGCCAGGCTTCGGTTATTAATTCAAATTGAATTTAACGGCAAATATAGATAATTGGACAACGTTGGCAGATGATCTGCTGTTTTAATTGCAAAAAAAAGGGTCGGAAGCATTATTTTAGAGCTATCGATTATCGAGTAAAAAATCTAGTATATAATAACTAAGCAAAGGAAAATTTCTGGGATCGCCAGGCTGTACTGATGCAGGCTATACTGATTCAAAAAATTTTCGTTGAAAAATTCATAAGCAAATTGATAATGAAGGCTTTCTTCACATAGCAACATAAATATATGATGAAAAGGAATGTAAGTATTCAAAATATTAGGAAGGTCCCCGTTTTAAACTCAATGCGTAGTGAGCCTATTAAATAGCAACTAGATATTGTTTTACTCCTTACCTTCAAAAAATCCACCTCCAGTCAATCCACCTCCAGTCAATCCACCTCCAGTCAATCCACCTCCAGTCTATCCACCTCCAGTTAATCCACCTCCAGTCAATCCACCTCCAGTCAATCCACCTCCAGTCAATCAACCTCCAGTCTATCCACCTCCAGTCTATCCACCTCCAGTCTATCCACCTCCAGTCAATCCACCTCCAGTCTATCCGCTTTCAGTCCGACACCCATCATTTCGATCAGAGAGAATAATTTTTAAAGGAACCGCAGCTAACTAAAGTTTCGTCCGGCTCCTTCTTTTCCGTTTAAGCTTAAATATGCCGCTCACCTGACGTTGTCGTGCTGCTTGATGTAGATCTTATGGAACATCGTGTCTTTGGGGATCCCGGCGATGTCGTTCATCATCTCCTTGGCGACGTGGCTAGGCAGCACGCTCAGCAGCAGCCGTTCCTGTTGTGCCATCGAGGCATCAATTGTTTAAAAAGAATTCAAAGGTATACCTATGTTTAATATAAATAATTTGATTAATTGAAGCAAATGTAATACATGGTGTATATGCAAGAATCTCACTCTTGCTGTGAGTTAAATTACTACTTACTAGGCAGAGCATTCACTTCGATTACAAACTGCATTGAGGCATTTGATCAAGCTTTGCAACACACGGTGTCGGAATTCCACATAAAGAAAATGCAATCAAGCAATCGCTGATCCAAACAGTCACCCTTTATTATTCTGCGTGTTTAAAAATCCACGATCTTTAGATTGGCTACAACTTTTCTACGACCCACCTTCAATTTAACCCCATTTCTCAAGATAATTTAGGAACCAAGCGCGCACTGCATCCAAGGCAAAGTCGTAATCTTGTTCGCAGCTCGTTTTGCGCTGACACACGAGCAGTTCAAGGCAAACGGCTCCAATTTCACTGAAAATCGTCGGAATTTACGCACTTCGGCCACTGCAATCTTCGGCGAAAGCAAGTCAACAACAGCTCTTTAGTTGACAAAGTGTTCTAACAGAGTCCAATACATGAAACTGCGTTCGTTTCGCTTTATGAACCGCACATCGATCATTGTTGAAAATCCTGATTTTATGTGTAATTTAATGGCTGCATCTACTAAAGCACAAGGACTTATGTCGTTAACCTGAAAGTATCCAACAACTGCAAGGGCAGTTTTAGTTGTATAAACCGCATGTTTTTAGTTATTAAAATTTTACGTTTTTGGCCGACGAACATGAAACTCTGAAAACTACGGGTTTATCGGAGCTTGGCATGACAAATTCGTCAGCAGTTAAAATTATTGTTCTTCAGTAAATGCATCTTACAAGTTTCTATAATTGAAATTGCACAATTTCTATTGTTAAACCTCGCTGTTTTTTTTGTAGTTAATAAAATTATAATAATATAATATAGTGTTTTTAATAATAGGATTGCAATCACCAATCACCTTTAGTCATTAAACTGTAGGTTTCACCATAGGAACTGCATGTTTTGAAATACTCACACTGCTTGGTTGTCATTACAACGCGAGGTCTTCATTATTGAAACGACTGGTTTTACTACACTGAAACTACTCGAGTAAATTCAAGTTCATTCGAGTCTGTTCCAGTTAACGATAGAAGTTTGACTAAAACAGAGAACAACGTGAGTGATTTCAGCTCAGTTACAGTGCGAGTTCAGATGGTCGCAATATGTTAATGGAGTTATCGATTGCATGAGTAGAAAGATCAGAAACCTAGTTGGGTGCAGAAATGAGTGAAAGTTCAAAGATCTGAAACGGCTGAAAATTATCACAAGAACATTGCAAATAGTTCAACCATGAGATAGAACCGCCCAGCAAAGAGGTTGCATCTTTGTTCTTGCTCCCAATTTGAAACGACATCAATCATAAAACAGCATATTTTCGGAAAGGTTTCGGAACTTTACGGCGGAAAATATAAGGTCTCAGAAACCTTCGGTGAATAGATCGTGGCAATCTGATATCATGGACTGGGTTTATCTGAAATTTAAAAACTTGACGTTTTAATATACCTAATAATTTCAGAACCAATTTTCTCCCATTTTCCTCACATGTCCATGCTGTAGCTCGCACGCATTTGAAGATACACTCTTTAGTCCCTCCGAATTTGTTCTTCCTTCAGAAGCTTTTTAGAAATGTCAATATTTTCATTCAAAATTCCACCACACTGTCAAACTTTAGCATTCTTTACCCAAAAACTTTTCCTTGTTCCTGAAATCACTCCAACATTCTCGCTCTTCCTGCTATTTCTTTTGTTCTACTGAAGCACAAACGCTCCATGTCCGTATGATTGTGAAAAGCATCCATAACAATATTTTTAAATACCATTGCACGTGAATATCACGTGTTTAATATATTGAAGTAAAATTAATATTATTGTACTTGATGTTGATTATTCACGTTCAATGGCATTCGATCCTCGACGCTCAGGCTCAAGTCATGATAACAGTACTCCAAATGAACCTGCTGGGTTTATTGGGAAGAATTAAATCTTAAATGAAGAAAGTAATATAAACATAATATATTTAGCATGAAAAAGTTATAGAATTTGAAGTCAAATTTATAGGAGCGCGTCTACATCATGTTCGTAAAAATATTTTCAAAAATTGTTCAGTGAGAGACATATCCTACGTAACATTTGATTGCGTTTGCACTAGGAAGTTAACTGTGGCAGGCTGGCTAACTGATGATCTAAAATACAACATTTTAGTCAGTTTTTTACTCAAACAAACTTAAAAAATGAATTTAACCGCGCGTGAGATTGAGAAAACCATCCCATATATCAATCGGCTGAGATTGCGCTTTTGATTGTGCAGTTTAAATTTTGTTGGCTGGGTAGGTGGAGGTAAGGCTACTGATTGATTGTGGATGTAATTGTTACAGATGAATTGACCGCAGCAGGTTAAGACACTGCACCTGATACTGCAAGACACTGCACCTGATACTGCAAGACACTGCACCTGATACTGCAAGACACTGCACCTGATACTGCAAGACACTGCATCTGNACCATATTGTTTGACCTAGCAACGTTAATATCAAGTAAATAAAATGATGCTACTATAGCACAACATGTATGGCGACGACTCACGCTATGGCTTCGATCATATCGACTCCCATCTCGACACAACAATGCGCGTGATCAGGCCTAGGCTCTGGCAGGCCGGAGACGCAGTAGTAGCAGTCGCCCAGCAGCTTGATGCGCAGGCAGTGATGTTCGGTAGCGAGGCGGTCGAATCTGGGTCCAGGAATATACGAAGATATTAATGGAAGTTCAGAGTGGGTATCAGACATGTATAAAATCGATTGCTGAACGGTAATAACTGAGGTAACGACAGATTTTCAATAGGTCATAGAACGAGTGGCTGAATGAAATAAAAGAGAAAGTAATGTACATTTCGTCTAATCCGAGACATGCAGAGAACTGCATTAGAGAAAAATGTACGTCAGAAAGCAAGTTTTTGGCTCGTTTCTGGAGAAACAGCTCGGAAACTATACGAGTCAAATTGAACAAAGCGATTGACATTTTGGCGTAATTTTCAAAATTAAAACCCCGTGTACTCGTACGTAGGATCTGAGGAGCTGAAATTTGTGCGGCACTAGACGAAAACACAGAAAGTTTTCCTATAGAATGGGAAAACGAGACATGCAGTTGCTGAGAACCTCTTGCTTGATTAGTTGCTGAGAAACTCTTCATTTTCTGGCACAAACGTTTCTCGGTTCACTCAGTGCGCTCTTTATGTTTACTTGACTTCTTTATATATATGACCTGTTTACCGACAAAATAATTTGCCACTTATAGAATTCGTAGGTAAAATGGGAGTACGTCTAATCGACGTACGGTTTTTCTCTCAATTTGAGCTATGATATTTTAATTTTATGCACTCCGTGAAACTGAATTAATCTTACTCTAACTAATACAATTTTCCTATAGAATTACCTACGAATTCTATGAATGGCAAATTAATTCTGAGGGTAGACAGGCTAGGTATATCAAGAAGTCAAGTTAACAAGCAGAGCGCACCGAGTGAACAGAAAAATGTTTATGCCAGAAAATGAAAACCTTCTATGCAACTAATAAAAAAATAACCAAACTGACAGACTTTTCAAACTGGTGTAGATGCAGTGTCGTGTCTCAAGGAAGGCCTTGCGTCGCGACGTCTCGTTGGGGTAGTGGCTGAACACTCCAGCGACGTTCACCAGCAGCAGCACCACCAAGTTCGCCCCAAGCTGAGAAAAAATACAAGAAACCGAGAATTACTTCTCATGAAAAAATTAAATTCTTTAAATCTATGGAGTCGTAACGTTTCAAATTTGCATTTCTTTGCTTTAGTTTTTCTGGTTTTTGACAGACCTGACCGTTTAGTTGAATAAATAATTTATTAAGAGAAATAATAATAAAATAATAATAATAATAACGTTACTATTTTATCCATGCCATTGCCATCCAACTGATTCAAAAAGTACTTAAGATGATAGCATTGCTTCCTGATCTAAGCAACCATAGTTAACATGAAGATTGCTAGACGTTAAAAACAACAACATTTATGAATTCATTGACAATACAATGAAACAGCCTGTTAAGACGTTATTCTATAAAATATAAATCATGAATAAAGTCGACGGGATAGGATGGCTATTTCATTCTCTTAGAATCAGTTTAATGTGCGATGAGGGTTATCATACAGGGGCATGCCATATAAACGCTCGTGTTATGATCGTCACATTTACAATAAGTTTATCATATGTAATAATATAACAATGAGACTAATATTTTTACAAAGAACATAATTATTTCCTATCCTGGGAAATTCATTATAATCACATCTCTTGTAGGCAAAATTATATCATCAATGCTGCTATAAATAACAGCGCTATAGCGACCCGCATGGCAAAATTTTAGCAATCGCATAATTTCAACAATTTGATTCATGGTCTAGCACTGATCTCAAGTTTTTTGTTCATGAGCAAAGATCGCCTTAAGTTCGCCCGAAGAATAAGAGAATTGCTTGCCACAGAACGCACCCAATGCAATTGGTTTTATCTTGATTGTTATATTTTGATTGATTTTTCGTTCGTGTGCTTCAAATCTGCTCATGCTAATTTTATGGTGTGTTTCCTAGCTTCTAAGTGTCATAAAGGAATAACTGCTCTCGCTTTTTTTTAAATTTTTGCCCTAATGATCCTTATCTTCGGTCGTTATTGTTAATATTAATTATTAAACTTGGCATCCTAGACTAAATCAAGTGTTTGTATGGCGTTTATGCCGAGGAGACTCTGATGCTTATAGAAGTACATAATAATAAAGTTAAATCCACCTACAGTGTAGGTAATCTTACCCACGCTGCCTGAATGTCGTTTAGACACATTTTTGACCCACTAATGCTGGACACATGTCTTGCCCCACTAATACTGGACACATGTCTTGTCCCACTAATGCTGGACACATGTCTTGTCCCACTAATGCTGGACACATGTCTTGTCCCACTAATGCTGGACACATGTCTTGCCCCACTAATGCTGGACACAGGTCTTGTCTCACTAATACTGGACACATGTCTTAAAAATTAAATTCTTTAAATCTATGGAGTCGTAACGTTTCAAATTTGCATTTCTTTGCTTTAGTTTTTCTGGTTTTTGACAGACCTGACCGTTTATTTGAATAAATAATGTAATAAATAAATGATAAAAATAAAATAATAATAACACGTTGTTTTATTCATTCCATTGCCATCCAACTAAATCAAAAAGTACTAACGATGATGGCCGTTGCTTTCGGATCTAAGCAACTAAGTTAACATGATGATTGCTAGAAGCTAAATACAACATTTTGGATTCACATGTCTTGCCCCACTAATACTTTCATTTATTTAATTCCATTTGCTCTCTCAATAAAAATCTGTCATTATAGGCCATGTTGGGGATCAGTTGGCAGGAATGGTGCAGTATATTTCACCGCAAAGCTTCAATAAAACAACTCAATGAACTGCATAGAACTCACGAGAGCGGAGCGTGCTGTGTAAGAGTGACGACTGCAAAAACATTTCCTACCATTTCTTCGTAAATTATAAAATGATAAAAATTAAAGTTTCGATGCTCAACCTCAAATTTATTTAATTAATATCTTTAGTGAGACAACTGCTATTTAACATTTTGTTACCTAAAGGTAGATGTAGTCAGCACAGTGACCTTTATATTTGAATTGCATAGACGAAAGCAAATACGTCGGCAAATAGGGATATTCAGTTCACAGGAAGCTACTTAAAGCAGAAAAATTTTCTCGCTACAGAAAATATTAATCTCTGCAGAAAATGCTGTAAAGTCGTCGTGTTACTCAAGACTGAGCAACAGTTTTTATCTAGTAGTCAAACTGTAATTCAATATCGGTGCAATATTACAGCGGTAAAAAATACTTCTCAGAGCAAGAAGCGTGCCATTGCGGCAACAATTAAAGCTCAAAGCAGAGCATTGAGTGCGATATCTTGCAGTCATCAATTATAGCACAAACTTATGGCAAGTACTGGTTTAGGTATATTTTGTTTGTAAGCATTCTTAACAGTAGGCCATTTGTGATGCCTTGTTTCAAAATGTATGTAAAACAAATACTGAAAACATCACAAATGTCAATAGGACCTCAATGGTATAATTGTTCGTTACATCAATTAAATTAAATTACAGAATAAATCTTTACTATAATAAATTATTGCATAATATCAATTAGTGAACAATAAATAAATCAAGTATTGAAAAATCGACGAAAATATACGATTCTTGAATCTCTTTCTTATTAATCGAAATAGAGAATAATTTCTCATTTTAACCTTAGTCAAAACAAATATTTTCTCTTCCGAAATAAATAATATCCACCCATGGACTGAACCGAAAACTCGTTTGTAAAATTCCGAGTTTAATTTGACCAGGCAATCGAGTGTTCGACGTTGATCATGCCGCATTCTTACAGGCCGAAAGATATGATAAACTCCACACGTGTGGTTAAGTTCAATAAAATTAATAATTATCATGAATTCAACGAATATTTTTAAAAACTGCGTATATACGGCAGCGCACGAGGCCAGTCTAATAGAGTCATCAATAAATACATAAATATAATTCATAAAAACACTCGAACATTTGAGCATTTATTTTCGAAACACTCGAAGACCAGGCTACCATGCTGTTTAGGATTCGCTTTTGGCTATGAAGAATAATGCTCAATATGCAATAATGCTTTGTCTGAAGTTATGTGATCTGGGCAACTTGAATACTATTTGTATGCAAGTTGTAGGTTTTCAGGCTATTTAGGTCGCTGCGTAAATAATGTCTGAGATGTTTCACATTTCTTTATTCATATTAAAAGATCCCGACGCAAGAGCATCTGGCGAGAAAGTCAAGACTTCCTCTTGGAAGTGAATGACGTCATCGCATAATATAAAATTATCCAAGAAAGGAGAGTTACACGATAATGATTCAAGAATCGCCTTAGTAGTATCTATTGTCTCGAGAAAAGTAATTACAAATTTTTATTCTTTACGTGAAAATAAAGGAAAAGACCCGAGTAAGGAATTTAAACGAGAGACTTCTAAGTAGTTAATTTGCATATAGCAGTTAGCCGTCTCTGTGGTCTCGTGGAATAACTTTAAAAGGCTGAACGAGTCTCTACGGATACACTAACGTAATGAAAGAGTTATAATCAATGAATAATTTTACAGGCTACCGTTTTCTAGGGATCGGATTATTCTACGTGATTAAAAGTAAAGGGATCGCATACAAGAAAATGTTTCAGTTCTCTTTAGGACGACTTTTGATAAGATGAAGGATTTTCAGCTCTCATAGCCGACTTATTGCAGTGAATATGCAGGAAACGCAATCAAGAAGACAATAAATACAATTTCAGTTAATAGAAAAATTAATTTCAGTAAATTTAACCAAAAACGTTACATTTTTCGTCCCTGCCATTCTTCATTCATGGTAAAATGCCAAGCATTAATATTAACCCTAAATTCAAAAGCAGATGCAAAGAGTAACATCTTTCCATAATTTCTTTCTGAATGTTTTTCTGTGCTTATTTGGTTATTTGTTCATAAAATCCATCGAATTGTAATTCCTATACAGAGTTTTCCCTTTTTCTCGAACACAGTTCAATATTCACAATATTGAATGCACAATAACACAATTCACAAGATATTAATGAATTTATATCACTTGTTTGCTTAAATCGCAAATTAACTAAGAATTTAAAAGCAAAGAGAAGTCCACAAAAATTCATATCTTTATAGAAAACGTTTCGGAGACGTTATTGTGTTAAATATCGTCGAGAAAAACCTCGTCAAAATTCCTGCATTAGCCTGAGTCGGTCTTTGGCTGGCTGTATGGCAGTCATTCATGATTTACGACTTGAATTTAATGAAGTGTCACGGGAGTCATTCACGCTCCACGGGGCATAAAACAACATAATAAACTTAATGTACTCGCATGAACATAAAATTAATATAAAAACTCCTGGCCTTGGTAAAATAAATTATGTTATGTATAAATTATGTTATGTTATTATGTTATGTTCGATAAATTATGTTACAAAGAATATCTCAACAGTTCGCTGCAGCGCGAGGTGCCCTAGGCTATTCCGTATAACAATATTGAAAATATATATTTCAGAAGAATTTTATATTTAAGTTTTGTAGGGCACATGATGGTAGTGAAATGATCGAACCTGTTATATAGAGAAACTTTGACTTTAGTAAAAAATATCTTATACCTTTTTCTCTTTCAAGTTACTAAAAAAACACATTAAGCGCAAAAGAAACTCCGTTAACAGCCAGCGACATCAAGCGCCCTGCAGGCAGCAGGCAATGGCCGATCAAGACCCAGCGTCTACCGCGGCGTCGATAACTTATCGTGACTTCCGTACAGCCGTGTTGTGGAAAACGTCTCAGGCTGGCGATTCTTATACAGGCGCACCAATTGTTAATAAATAACTTTGATACCAGAAATTTGACCGTGAAATGGAGAGGAGAGCTTTAACATTCAGGGTTCACATAATAAATGTTTGAAGAAAATGCGAGAAGCGCAAGTCATTGAATTACACATTACAACGAATAGGCAACAGCACTAATTGATATTATTAGAAAAAATTTAATGTTGAAATCAAACTAAATCATTTGAATTCAAGTAGGACTAGTAAATAAGCTTTTGATCACCTCCTCAACTCACTGACTACTAATATGTACGTA